GGCTCTTTGATGGGGTTTCGACACTCATAGCGGTGAATGCCAAGGTCAAAACCAAACACTGCTAACACCGATTTAGTGTAATAACTCGGTGCTTCATAATCTAATGCAGATCTTTTAAGGTGATCTGAGAATTCACTACTGTTACTGGACAGAGATTACATTTATTGTTTAACATATCCACACCAGTTCTTTTGTATTCCTGTCAGAAACGATCCAGAATAGATTTTTTGTATAGTTTTGATAAAGGATCGGACAACATGACAGATGCTCCTCTTGTTAAGAAAGAAGTACAGTATTAGTAAGTGATCATGCAAAATCAGAGATCAGGATTGATAGCATGGATATATATCAAAATACACCTCATACATAATTAAAATCATTTTCCCTGCTCTATTCCAGTCTTTTAAATTATTATAATCCATATGCAACGCTCACATATCTAATTAATTTGATCATCAGCCATGGATTGCACACGTTGACCACATGAGGCTACTATTAACCTCAAATATATGTCTCTCATTCTTGGACATTTTTCTGAAATTCTTTGAAATCCTCGTTTATAATGCTTTCACCCTCAGGCTCATTTTTTCAGCTCCTTCAATAAATCTAACAAAGATCAGTAAATTACACCAAGATTGACAAAGGTCAAGAGGTGGATCTGCTTTGCTCCCAAGAGCACTCAGGTTTCTCCAAGAGCCTCTCACAGTTTTAAAACAGAGGTGACATCACAGTTTGTAAAGAGCAGACAGGAGGAGACGGAAAAAAAAAAAAAAGAGGGGAGTTTTGCCTCTCTTTGTGTCTGTAGGGAAGTAAGGGTTAGCAGGGCCGAGCTCATCATTTTCATATCCACACATAGCTCATTTTCCCTTTCGTCTCCCTCCCTTCACTCAAATATACAGCATACCCACATAAGCACACACATATGCACCCAGACAAATCTGAACCTTCACAGCCAGCCACATACCTACCTACCTCCATCAAGGCTGGGCTGAAACCCAGCACTTCAACCTTAATGAAAATAAATAAAGCGGTACAATGTGCTGTTTGTGCTCTGCCTTGCATCCAGCGGAGAAGGCTTCACTCTGCTAGTCGACATCCTTCCCCGCTGTCCCTCTCCTCCATTTAAAAGGTTCGCTTTTACATTCCCTCTCATACCACATTTCCCACCAAAATGGCTCCTTTGCGCAACTCCCCGAGCTCCCTAAGCCAACATGACCTCCTTGTAGTGTGTGTGTGTGTGTGTGTGTGTGTGTGTGTGTGTGTGTGTGTGTGTGTGTGTGTGTGTGTGTGTGTGTGTGTGTGTGTGCGTGTGAGTGTGTTTAAGAATGCAATGAGTGTTTTTAATTATGTCACTCTGCATGAGGATACTTTTTTCTGCTGGAACATTTTGGTCCTTTTCACAACCTACATGACTTAATAGTTCGTGTGTGTGTGTGTGTGTGCGTGCATTTTTGAGTGTGCACACACACGGATGCATGCATATATGCTCGGCAGCCGGTATGCGTTTGTGTGTGATGTAGAAATCCATGCCCAACACACACTTTACATAAACAGCACAGGGATTCACCTTGTATGAGCAGACTCAGGCAGCTTTTACACAAGTTTCAACACGCTACTCATTCCATTCTATTAATACAATGCTTTAATTTCCTCCCACTTTGATGCAGCTAAAAACACTCACAGCTGAGCCTCTCGTGAGCGTTCTGTATACATCACTCAACATAAAGCTACAAATTATGGTCTGAAGTGAAAGTCCGAGCCCAGCAAAGGACTTCAGATTTTGGTCAGAGCAATGTGGGCTGAAGGAAATGACCTACTAGCTTTTCAAAACATCCCCGTGGCTGACTTTGGGGCCAGGGCTCCAGCCCTGATTGGTGAAAGCTTAGAGAGGTGTTTCAGGGCTCAGTGGCGATGCTATCACATAGTAAGTGGCCTTAATGGGCTTTCAACTGTTTGTTTGAAGGGCTCCCATAATGACAGGGATCAACTGATAACGGCCTCAGCCACACACTGCGCAGACAGCCGTCAGACCCTCTCATGGATGAACAAACGCCTTTGCGCATTTATACAGATATGGGAGGTAACTATCTCTACATGTGCAAACACGGTCCACCTACCCCACCCCTCCCCTCTCCTGTCTCTTCCCACGTTTGGGCAAAACAGGTATTTTCAAGACACTCTGGTGCCAAAACAGAGCACCGCTGTGGGAGGTGCTCCAATCAGTCGATACAGCGTGCACGCCCAACAAAGGTAGGTGTCACATGGGCTACCTTTCTAACAACAATTACACACAGAGCTCCGAAGCTGGGCAAGAATGCACTGCTTTACTGCACACACAAGTACACACACACACACACAAATATCCGCAGTGCTACTCCCTTTATGTGCAAGGTATTTTCTCAGTCTGGCCTAAAGACAGCCCTAACAATGAGCATGCCTGTTAAGCCAACTCCTGGGGAAGAAGTAGACGGAGAAGAAAAACAGGGCCTGGGGAATGTCCAAACCAAGGCCTTTTGTCTTCCCCGCTAACATTTAAGAGAGCTGGGAATGAGACTGTTGTCATTAAAATGACTTGTAACATTCCTTGTTAAAGGATACACCAAGAGGATGTTTCAAAAGCTGATACCAACAGCTGATGGTTTTCAATCCACTGATATGCAGCTGTATATGTGTATGAGCTTCAGCACACAAATAAACTACATGTCTATAGCTCTAAAACAATTAGTCGATTAACTGATTAGTCAAATCGACAGAGAAAATGAATGAACAACAAAACTGTAACTGAATAATTATTTGGGTCATGTATTAAGCAAATGTGCTAAACATTCCCTGGTACCAGCTTTTCAGATGTGAGGAACTGCTGTTTTTCTCTTTAAATATTTTCAGACTGAAGGCTTTGGGTTTCCGTCAAACAAAACAAGAACTGCAAGGACATTACTTGGGCTCGGAGATCTCACGTGTTCACGATCTCTTGACATTTTATAGAGTAAACAATTTCTCGATAAACCAAAATAATAGTTGGATTACAAATCCTGGATTACAAGTCACAGCCCTTGATATAGCTATTTTAATTGGGTAAAAACAAGTTTAATTTGTTTCTGATTTGAGACTTTATTATAATAATAATTATGAATAATTATTAATAATATTGATCCTAATATTCACAGTAAATAATATTGGACCAATACTAAGAAGAGGAAGAACTTAAAAAATGTCAATCTCCTCACATAAAACTCAGTCAACGCTATTTGTCACTATGATCCCGACTTAATCTTTGACCCCAGTCGTGTTTAAGCTCTGACAAAAAGCTTAAGCTGAATAACTGCAGTCCTTAACCCTTGTGAACGATACTACTGCCAGCGTGGATGTGTCCGTACAAGCAGTCATGTATGAAGCCCCAGTGCATGTGGTTGCCTGCGTCTGTTTGTGCTTTGATACTTGTTTTTGTTTTATCCTATGCCAGTGTAAAAGCCAAAAAAGAATCCATCTGTCAGTGCTGTGGGATTTCATTCTGCGTCAGGGGTATGTTTCTAGTTTTTAGATGAAAGAAGGGCTCTGTGTGTGTGTGTTTGTGTCAGTGAGAGAGAGAGAGGAAAGAGTGTCTCTGGTGGTGTGTTTGCATGTGTGTATCTCTGTGTTTTCCTAGCAGGGTGTGTTCTTGGATTCCACCACACTAGGACATTACCCCCAGGTGCTCGCACTCTCTCTGTCTCGCTTGCTCTGGTTCTATGAAAATACCTTGAGGATTAGGTGGGCAGCAGCAGCAGGGAGGGAGGGTTGGGGGTGGGGGAGTGGGGGTGAGGTAGTGATTGACGGCTGAAAAGCTGGAGAGGTGCTCAGGCACGCTGTGGTAGGGGAGAGAGGGGGACTGCGCACACAGGCAGGGGGGCTCTCAGGCTCTGAACTCAGCTGTTGCCACCCACACCCATTATAGCCCCTCCACAACTTGCCGCCCCTTTAGCACAGCGCCCAGATAAGATTTCAAATAACTCCTGCTTACCTTTACCTCATGCTCTAAGCTCAGCGAAAGTTCTTCTTCTTTTCTCTCTCTCTTTTTGCGTTTCCCCTCTCTCACAATGACATCCTCAGCAGCAAATTATGCAGCAGTGGTTTTATACAAGGATATTCCCTGACCTAGAATTCTGATGCTGATTTAAAAAACTGCGTTTTGAAACCCAGCAGGTGTTTTGAACAATGAGCAATGTATATCGGCAGTGTGTGTGTAATCTGGTTAGTTTTTCCATGACAGAAAAACACTCTGGATTGCTAACAATCTCCTCTTTGTGCTCTGTGCGCCATACATCATTCTATCCTACTGCTTCAGCATACAACAGTGCCCCCTGTGGTCAGGTCTGAATCTACAGGTCTGATACTACTGGAGAGTGCTGCCGTGGTAAATCTGGTTATTCCTCCTTTAGCTCACTTTTCTTTTTACAAAATAGGTGTGCAGTATGCTCATTCTGAATAAACAGTCAGATAAGTCTTTCAATCACAACTGTGCTCATTTTTAAATATTTGTTGATGCTCAGAGCACACACTGAAAGAATGTTGTTGTGTCTCTAATTGCAGACTTGTGGGTTGCCTGCCTCACAAAAGCTCTGTGAGAGGTCCATAGACACAGACACACAGGCATGCACACACGCCAGTGAAGACAGAGCTTGTGGTCACAACCACACCATCTACAAGCATCTATAAGGAAACCACAGGAGCAGAGTAATCATTGTACTGATGAAAGTGGACTTTTTCCTCAAGGTTTCTTTGGGGGATTTTTTATACCACTTGTCCTATATCACAAACAGACCCTAAAGTTTTCCATTTCCACAAAATTACACATAATGAAGTGCATATTATACAGCCGTATTTTCCTGCATGTCCAAATTGTTTAATGTGACTTGACAAACACGAAGGTATATGGGCCATACATGTAGTTAAGAGTTGAAATGGAAAATTATACATGAGAGGGGAGAAAAGTCAGACACACAGTAATGAAAATGACTTACAGAGTGCGGCCATCTCTTTGGGCAGGTCAGCACCAAATCTTCCAAACAGGCTGCTGTTGGCCAGCAGGTCAAAAGGGGAGTGGCTTCTCATGGAGTTGAAGGCGAAGGGGTAGACAGCAGGTGGGAAGCCAGTCATGTGACCCACCTGCTGTTCCCTGTTTGTAGCCATGGCGACAGAACACACCCAGGGGACCACAGCAGGCCACTGGGTGAAAGTAACGGGTTTCACAACACCTGGAACCCCCCGGAAAAGCTGAAATCCGCGTCCTTTCAAAAACTCAGGATGTGGGGAATGGATGAGCAATGATGGGGCCACTTGTTTACTGAGGGAATGTCGGACTCCACTTCAGAGGAGTCATCCAATTCACTTTTCTGAGGAAGAGAAGGCAAGGAAATAGTTATTTATTAGTATAAATTCACCACATACAACATGAGTATAAGAGTTTCTGATGGCATGTACATGATGATACCATCAGTGGTTTGTGTTAAGATCCTCTCTGGATTCCACAAACACGATTTACCTCACATCAACTCTGAGAACACGATCCATCTACGCTCTGGGACGGAGAATGGTTTATCCACAGCTCTAATGTAAGAAGGATGTGCAAGCTTCATACCTACAGGTATGAGAGAATGGGAAGGAAAGAGGAAGTAAGGAAAGACGGCAAGAACCAAAACAGATAAAAGACATGAGAGAAAAAGAATGAGTGAGTGGGAAAGCCAGAAAACTGGGACTGGGCGAGGGGAAAAGAAAATAAGAAAGAAGTTTGGAAAAAGTTATAACAGGGAAGAGCGGGAGGGAGGGAGGGAGAGGGAAAAAAGAGAGAGAGAAAAAGAGAGAGCGCTCTTGTTCCTGCAGTTTTGAAGAGCGTCCAGACTTCTACAGTGATTCCAGGCTATGCCATATGATTTAAATCACCAGAACTCTACTATAAAGAGCTCCTCTGTTCCTGCTGCCAGCCTAGCACAGCAGCCTGCCTCTCTGCCTCTTTCCCCCAGGACCAGAGGCCCAGACACGGGGTCCAGAGCATGGGGGTGGGAGGGGGTCGGTGGGGGTAGAGGGTAGGGAAAATGAGATCCACTGATTGCTAACTGCTGCTGTCAGTTCCAACTATCTTCTCTTGAGGTCAGGCTCCCATCCCACAGAGTCATTTTGGCTTTAACCTCCTGCAGCCCGCTCGTCACTTTGACTCCACACAGTAGGCACACAGACAAGTCAGGCTCAAGTGTGGACAAGGCTGCAGTTATGCCCCACTGTTGACTGTTAATACAAGAGGGAAAAAAATCCTAGTAAAGCCTCCCATTTTCTTTTTCATGTTTTTGTTTTTTTGCCTTTCGCTTCCCTAGCGTGATTTCATGAGTGGGTGGTGTGATCAGCTTGTTTTTTTAAATGTGGCTTTGGAACTGCTGTGGCTTGTGAATCCGGGAGAAAAGACGGGGAAAAAAATCTTGGTAATGAATTCGGTATAAACAAAGAAATGAGGGGGTGTGGGGGGTCTAAGGCAGAACCGGTGAACTGCTGAACTGAGCGAAGACGCGCAGAGGAACAGTGACAGGGTCTGAGCACTGGGGGGCACTAAGAGGTGGCGCCGTGCCCAGGAAAAAATGCTTTCCAAGACGCACACATATGCACCACACAGTCTGAAACACATACACATGCAATCAAGCACTTAAAAAAAAACTCTACACATGTGTGAGAGCACCCACTGACACACGCAAACACACACACACCTCTCACCCCTTGCCTTTTCCAGGGCTCTGGCTCCCTCCCTGCCTCTCTTTCTGGCTCTTTCTCTTTCAACAGAGCCAGTTAATTACACCCTACTGCTGCAGGCAGCTTCAAACCACCACTAATTTAGAGTTCCATTACAGTAAACTGTTCCACATGTGCTTCCAGGGCCCAGGCAGGCTCGGGTGGCCACGTTTCAGGAAGGAGCAGCCGCCGATAGGCACCCACCCCCATCCTGCCAACGCAGCCATACTGCCATCTTTCTTTTTCATTCTACCTTTCTCTCTGTATGTTTTGCTTTCTTTCGTTACCTTTAATCTTTTCCCTTTTCTGGCCCCACCCCACATCGCCTCTCTATAATCATGTCCTTAGACCAAAATTTCTTCCCCACCTCCCCAAACCCATCTCCATCCCTCCACTGCTTATACAACTTGTACCATGACCCTGTGCAGCGGTTCCACTGTGTGGCTAAAACACAAAAACATCACTAAAGATTTCATTGTGGGCCTAATGGGAGAATAGGTACAGACGGGAAAAACAAAATTGCCAGCAATGCACGAGCTCATAATGTGTGCACGTGTGTGCACGTGTGTGCACGTGTGTGCGCGTGTGTGCGCGTGTGTGTGTGTATGCGTGTGTTACGAGTATGTACTTGGCCAGCGTTTAGCCCGTTAGGGTATCTGCCTCATGACCTCAAACCAGGCTCCATAAAGGCAGCACAATCTGTCTGCAAGTGCTGCGAGAAGAGAGAAGGACAAAGAGAAAAAGGAAGATGTGTGAGAAAAAGAAGGATAATAGTAGAATGTAAGACTGTATGCATGTGACTTTTGTGCTCCCAAAGGAGGAAAAAAACAGTATATTAATCCAAAAATTAAGTTTTAAATGAGTTTCAAGCCACCCAACCCAAGTGGACTATCCTACCTAAGCACCATTAGCCGCAGTGTCACTGTACATTCGCACATAAGTGATGAAACAATATAAGAAACTAGGAAAAAAATAAGAAAGAACTAAAGAATACAGAGAGAGACACAGCCTTTTAAAATAGAGCCCAGTAACTTTACTCTCCCCAAACACAATAATGAATTAATAAAAGAGTTGGCGCCAGTGTTTTTTAATGAGTCACATCAGCCCAGCAGCTTTTTACAGAGCCATTTATGTTTTATGTTGGGTCCTGTGGTAGACTCACTTCGCCAGCCCGTCTGGGGCTATAAGGGGATAAGGGGAATTTGGAGTGACCTCATCCCCTGTTAGCCAGGGCCAAATGGGCATGGGCCTCCCCACTTCCCCTGAGCCTGGGGGGCACACAGAAGGCAGCAGGCGGCCAGGCAGGCGAGGAGCACCAGGGCCAGCTATGGGTGGGTTCACGGCTGCTGCTGGGACTTTCCATCATTCCCTAAGAGGTGCACTGTAGCAGTTTAAATTTACTTTGGTTGTTTCTGTAAATAGTGGAGTGTCAGACCTCACGGCAGTTCATCATGTTAAAGTCGACTCATTGGTTACACTGGAGATAATCTATTGATTTTAATCGAGACAAAACGCTGTATAGTAAATTAAATGAAATCAATCAAGCCGGCAATTTGGAGACAGCGCCACAAGCTGAGGCACGCTTAGAGAGAATGAGATTCTCTTGTTTGCTGAAGAGGTTTCAACAGAAAGACCGAGCAGAACAGAGAATCGCGTAAAAGAGTAAAAAAGACAGTCAGAGAGAGGGAGAGGGGGAGAACAGTTCCCACAGATTGAATGTCTGTCAAACAAAGGGTATCAAGTCCTCTGTGAGCAAAACAACAATTGCGCCTTAACCGTTGTGACGGAGTGAGGCCCCTCAGGCAATAAGAATTGCAGAGAAACATAACAAATAAATCACGGCATCGCAGGAAGCTCTGCACCACACAACCAAGAAAGGCAGTGGGTTTTTTTTAGTCAGCACAAGAAACCACAGGTGATTATTCGGCGTATATGAGCAGGATTCTGGGTGCCATGGCCGCCCTTAGTGTTTTAAATGGAAGTGTTTCTTATTGCAGTAAGGGAAATGCGGCAAAATGTTAAATTACTGTTTGAGATTATATTGAGTTAAAATTATATGTTTGCCTTTGAAGTTTTCACAACTCTCCCCACTCTGACTCTTTGTTTCCCTTTTCTGAGATTGACTGAGTTCACACATTTTTTCTTTGGGTTTCCTGAAAGGCCACAATATGCCATTTTCTGACATTTTCAGCGTGTCAATCAGTCCAGGCAGAGCAGCAAGTCAAAACATTTACTGGAAGGACTGAATTGTAAATTCACAGCCTCAAGATAAATGAACTGTACCGTGTATTCCTGGCAGGGAAAGCTTGGCAGAATCGGAGTCCTCTCGCTCTTTTTCCACCTCTGACTTGCCTACTCCTGTTAATTTTTTGACAGAAAACTGCACGTCTTCCAGGCACTGTCCTCCAATTGTCAACATCATGAAGTGATTTATGTTGAGTGACTTTGTAAAGGAAGCAACTTGAAGCAGAGACCGTTTAAGTTTTAAGTTTTGGGTCATGGGTGAAGTCATACTACCACAGCAGTTAAACAGTGATTTCACAGTCCATGTGTCCTAACTGAGTTGACAGACTGGCTTTTCCAATTGCTTGGAGCAAGATGAAAATTTTGTGTCATTATCACTGCTTAACATGCCCACACGCAGCAATCAGCAACTGTTTGTGGACAGAACTGTCACAGACAAATGAAAATGTTCATATTGAAACAGGATCATGAGAGCGTTATCTGATCTTGGTGCTGGCGTCAGCAGTAATTTGGCTGTGAAAACACTACCCTCAACACTATTATCTGATGCAAAGCTGACAGCTCCCAGTCTTTCAACAAGTGGCTGGCTAATGGCTCTGAGAGAGACACCTAGTGACAGACAGTCTTGTGTCTCCAAACAGACCTGCATTCCAACGCCTCAAACTTGTTCGACATCTCCCTGCTCTTGGCATCACATAAATACGTATTTGCTTACAGCAACAATGCAAAGTAGCACCTCTGTGTAATCATTTCTCACTTAAACAGGTATTGTTTTTCATGAGTGCCACAGGGGAGTGTCATTATGTAACCCTTGTTTTAGGGTCTATAAATCATCAAACATCCATTCCTAAATCTTTTTTTCATCATCTCTTTCTTTTCTTTGTTTAAACATAATGTCACAAAACAGGCTGCATTGACTTGCTGTGGCAGAGAGAAGCATGGAAAGAGTGAGAACTCACAGTGAGACATAAAACACTTTGTGACATGATGAAGTCATCCTGACAGCTTGCTCTTTCCATGATGTGGTAGAGCTCTTTGGAGTACTCAACATGGAGACTCCAGCAGCGAGTCCAACAAAACAAGAAAACACAACAAGTAAAGGCAAAGAGAGATGATGGTAAGAAAGTTTGAGAAATAAACAATGAGTCCGAGAGACAGGAACTAAAGCAAGAGAATACAGTTCAAAGTGGCAACAGTGTGTTGGCTACTCTTCTAGACTTGAAAGGTAAAGTCAGTGCTACTAATAGTTCTTGTTTTGTGATTACTGAGAGAGGATTCACAATGGAGGTGTTTCCCTTCCTCAATTCGAGGAGAAAACAATCCTTTCTCTGTATAAAGAGATGCATAATGGATGGGTTTCACCACTGCGTTTTTACCCTCGGGAGTCAAAGCAACACTCAGACACAGGCAGGCCCAAACACACACGTGCAAGCACAGCATGCAAAACAACACACATTCACACAAGTTTAACTTTGTGCCAAAAGATCTTTTAATGAGTGCTTGCAGGCAGGCTGAAAATGTAAATCCTCACAATCAGAGCGGCACACCTGCAAAAATAGACATAGGAAATGGTGTGCAGATAGTTTCCTTGTTAATTATAGTGTGGTAGCGGAGAGCCCCTCGATTCCCCTAAAACCACCTGTCTAACCCCTCCCTGCCACTTGGGCTTAATTGCTACAGAAATTCCAGAAACAGACAGGTATCAACAACTCCCAGATTTACTGCGCAAAGTCATGTCACAAAGAAGGACTGTTTGCAGATTTGGCTTTAACAGGTTATGTTGTTTCACTGGTTCCCACAAAACCTCAGATTTATACACACCTGAAAAGTATTATTGCATAACGCACCAGGCTTACAATTTTCAACAATCACTGTACAAAAATGTGTACTTGTTGGTTTTTGACTTTTTACAACTTCGATCGTATTACTGGAAGATTTTAACAAATGAAATAGTAATTATCAGTGTTTCTCCTATTTTTTATTCATTTTTTGATGACTTCTAACTTTTTGATCCATACAGACATGTCTAAATTTAAAGGCACATTTCACTGAAAAACAACCACTAATCACACTGCTTCATGAGCATGTTTTTTGTTCAAAAACAGTTACTTCCATGAACACATAGGGCATTTTACCAGTATATTATTAGTGATCTGTACTGATAGACGTGTGTGAGCATTGTCTAAAGAATTTTAAGGCTGTTGCTTAAAATATTTACAACAACAAAAATGGGAGAATGCTTTTGGTGAGGCTGACAAAGCTGACATTCTCATGACCATAAGTACAGGGATCATGAGTAATGTCACATAGCCAACTGGAGCATATAGCACCAAGCACAAATAATTGATTCAAAATTGCCACTGAAGACGAAATGCCATGAAGGTAAAGCTGCTCTGTGTGGACTGTCCAGCCTTGAAAAAAGACCCATGGGTGGCGCACTGGAGGAGGACAGTGCTGTGATATTGCTCTGCCTCAGAGATGAGCTCCGTTTCTTCCACTCCAGATGTCACCGAGCCAGAGTTAAACTGATAGACCAGATTACTGCACAGGGCGACACTAATATCACTGGCCTTCGAGCAGGCATCCCGCGCACGACCGTGTGGGTGTTTTTTCAATTCACTTCAATCAAACTGTCACACTCACACTTATGTCAGGTCCACCAGGGGATAAGCAGTGGACAGCAGGTGCAAAGCCAAGGCAGTCCAGCTGCAACGGTTTACCTACTGACCAGTCACTGCTGGAGCAATAAACCATAGCAATGTGGAAAGCTACACTCTGACATCAGGTCTCTGGATCTTCATCTGATATCCAAATCACAGCGCACTAAATGCACTGTGTCACACATGGCTGTAACAAGTGGAACCTGTTAACCTAGCACATATGCCAGCATCAATAAATAATCGTTACTGACATGCTGCTAACTATGGGAACACAATGACTGAACTTCCACGTAAACTAAGACCAGAGTTTCAGACACACCTCACTCCACAGGAATTAACCTCTGCTGATGTTTAAAAGGTGGAAAACAATGCTTCTCTTTTCCAAGTGTTCATATGTTGCTTATTAACAAAAAAACAGGTCAAGGACTGGTGACTCCTCTGGTGAATTCACATTCATACACATCAAACACATGCAAGCATGTACACACACACACACACACACACATGCTAATAATAAAGAGCTCCACAGGCACTGGGTAACACTTGAAACACTCACTAATAGGCACATGTGCACACAGGCACACATGCAGGCACACACACATGCTCAAGTATGTTTTCATATAAACTCAGTGTCAGTGTCACATTAACAAAGCAGAGAGGAACAAACATACAAAAACACCGCACGCAAACAAAACGTGCGCATTAGGATGCTTTCGTGTTTACACATGAAAATCTGGTCAGATATCGTCAAAACAATGATTAATTGTCTCAAAGCCTCTCAACTGTTTTGCACACTCGGTCTCTGTCTTCAATTAAAACTGACGACCCAGTCCCCAAAAAATGCAGTCTCTCACTCTGTCTGTCTCTCTGAGAGGGAATGAGAAAAAGGAAGACAAACAATGACTTAAGTTATGGATTTAAAACTTTTTAAGTATAAATCACTCACCAGCTCTGGTGTTGACGAGGTAGACGGACAGATGGAGCCGTTGACGGAACGGTCTGATGAGCGGAGCTAGCCAGGGAAAAGGAGAAAAGATGTGTGTATGTTCATCAGAGTCCTTCTGACAGCAAAGACAGAGTAGCAGTGAGCCTCTCTCCCTCTCCCACTCCCCCTCTTCCACTCTCTCCTCCTCCACCTCCTCTCTCTACCTCTTAAAATCACTCTTTCACTGCCCAAACACAGGGACACAGACTCACTCTCTCCCTCACTAAGAAATAATTATACTCTCTGATTCATAAAGCCTTCCTTTGTCACGTGACCCAACACTTCAAATATACAGCACATTTTTTCACAAGCCACAAAATGCCTGGAGGGAAGAAAAAGGCCCAGGGAGCTTAAGTTTCTGTTTTTAATTCTCTCTCCCTTCTTTGTCTCTCGGGTGAATTCTTTTTCTCTCCTTCATCGTCTTGGCTCGAGGGTCGGTTTACCTACAAACTGTTTGTGCATGTGGAAATGCAGAGCCATGTTGTGATCTCAGCTCATTCATGTTTAATCAATAAATTCACAGTTTAATAGGAGAGGATGTTTGAGTATCCTGAACAACACAGATTATAATGTTTTGATTAAACACAGATGCTCTTTTAATGGCAGGCCAATATGTTTATTCTTCCAATAAAGTCTAAGAAGTCAAACCTAGTCTTTATTTTCCTGTTTTGATTAATTTACAGATTAAACATAATGAATTTTGCCCTACCTGACTGCTCAGTACAGGGACGTACTGTTTGTGCTGTTTTTTGAAAATCATATTTGTGTTTGGCACTGTGTTTTATTACTTACAAGGTTTCTGTGACAATCTTCCCAGAGCAGTGATAATAAATCACTACTATTATTACAACTGCTGATGCTACTACTACTTATAGGACTTTATATTAAAGAAGAAAGCAAGTATGAGGAGCCTTGTGAAACTAATTTAAGGAAGTATTGGACACACAAAAAACCCTGACAGAATATCTAAAACATTCTCATGGAGGATAAATGAAAACCAGAATTCAAAGCTGGAATCAAACATTTTGTAGGACACACAACATCTGTCGACATCCTGCCAAACATTCTGCAGTTATTATTTTTAAGTCAAGATTATTGTCTGAAGTCTTTTTATTGTATTTCTGTACCTAAATAATTTCAGTTCCTAAAATGAAACTAGTAGTGGCACATCAGCTACAGGAAGTCCCATGTGAGATGGCAGAGCTGTGCAGTGGCAGCAGAGACAGATTTGGGTGTGCCCCTAAACGTGCCCCTCTCTCCATATGAGATCATATGTTTCAGATCTGTGTTTATGTGTTTGTGGTTCTGGGTGTGTGCCCTGTTTTTCTGAATGTAATGCTTCTCAAGTTGTTTTGGTTATGAGGAGCACCTCAAACCTCAGAACTGGGAGGAGGAGGCACACCTCAACTGGCACCTCAACGGGCACTTTTACCCCTGCAGCGGAGCACAGATCAACTACACTTTCTGAAGAAAAAAACAAAGTCAATGGAAATACACGAGCGCTTCCTTAACACTGAAATAAGAAACTTCTAATCTAATTATTGTCTAAGCCAAGTTAAGTGTAGCAAGCATTTTCAAAATACCCAAATTAAACATGCACTACTTATTCCGAAACTTCTAAAAGATGCCCTTCAGGCATATTGACCATGCATCACTTCACAGTCTCCCACATATCACAGTCTGAAGCAGAACTGCCAACCAATTCAGCATGTGGAAATTTTCTTTTGTCTTCACAGATACCTGTACATTTAAAATCTGCTACAACTGCTGCTTATTTTGTTTTTAAATCACCGTAACTGGCCTGATATAGGCAGAGATCTTATCCCCAAATACACTGACCCCAATATTTCTCCAGGATAAAGTCAAGCCCTGCCAACCTAGCTCTCGTTATTACTCTGTGCTTCCGATTTTTTACAGCCACATATGGTCTACACAAGCCTACTGAAATGTTTTTTCATACAATTTTTTCAAAATGTGGATTTGCTTGTACATAATCAGGGGAATGAACGGATAAGCAGTGAGAGGCGCTGTTGCCTGTTTTGTTTTTTTTGCAGAAACCTTATATTCAGGAAGCACAGATCTAAGCCATACTGCAAAAAGCACTTCAGCCGATCCTTATCTCGTTTACGTTTGATTTATGTGTTGCTCTTGAGGCCAGTGAGGCTAATAGAAATCCCATAACTGTTTACATAGCAGGACTAAATCAGCAATTGTGTAAAATGAAACAAGAAGGTAAATACAGCCATAGGATGCTGCAAAAACTGACTCTTTATTAGCCACCAGAGTGATGTGAACTGTGAAGTGTGAATTTCAAGTCTGTGTTGTTATCAGGCTGACCAAAACCATGCATTTGTGTCAGAATGCGCAGTCAAGTGTATGAGGATAGCCGTGTGTATGTCAGTGCACAGGGCATGCTGTGCTCCTTTATTAAATTATGACAGTGAGCTTGAGCAGGGGGTGTGTTTAGCGTATGTGTGCATGCTCTTGCAGCACGCACGGCGGCACTTGTGAATATGTGTGTGTGTGCGCTTGTGTCTGTGTGCATGGATGAGCATGCGTAGGCAGTAGCAGCGAGAAGGTCAGAGGTTACTAGTGTTTGTGTTTCAGTGTCAGTGAAGTGTGCTCCAGGCAGAGATTTATGATCATTGTGTCTGGGAGGCTGCAGAGTGGGGGATAATGAAGATAGATCAGGGTGCTATCTCTCTCTTAGGGCACCACTGGAAACATGGCCTATGGCCCTCTCCGTTCTTGTATCATTAACTTCAGTCTGTGACATCATAACGCACTGCCCGGACATCAATCCTAACACAGTGTGCTCTGACAAAAAGTCGAACGCAGAGAGGATATTCCTCACAGGAAGTCATCCTGCAAATACAGGCGTTGTTCAGCATGTAGCTTTGCAGCGTCTCTGAGTGTGTTTATGAAGATATGAAATATTCATGGAAACTCAGTCGTATTCAGTCGTGTGTTTCCACTTTAGATTCAATGTATTTGCATTCACAGAGCTATGGAGTGGAGGCCTGGGGCTTGCTGGCAGAGGAGGAGCAGCAGAGGCAGGAAAGGAAAGAGGAGATGATTGAGGGCGCAAGAGAGGGAGAAAGTGAGGTTAGAGGGGTTAAAGGGAGATGGAGAGACGTAGAGGCAAGAGGGGATGGAAGGCGAGAGGGCCGCTGGTACAGGGAATGTGGGAGAAAGGGGTGTGAAAGGGGGAGGGAGAGAAAACTGGAGGGTGAGATGGAGAGAGGGATGGATTGTAGAGGGAAAGGGGGGGGGGGGGGGGTGATGGGATTGGTGGTGGGGGAGGTGAGAAGGGGCGCAGGGAGCTGGTGCCTGTGGCGGCAGGTTTTAATCAGTAACAAGATGCCTGTAATGAGATCACTATTTCCCCACATTCAGATTGATGTCATGTGAAGTCTGGTGCCACACTGAGACAGTCAGGGGACGCAGAGCGAACACACACACCCCACTAAAGAGTCATTTCGCACACACATGCAGATACACATTCATGCACACACACACACACACACACACACACAAATATACACTTGCTTGCACTTTCTTGGTTACAGACTTAAACACACATCCTGTGAAATGAAGGAGCTCATTCATCCAGCCTGGCAAAGTGCACTCATTTAGAGTCCAACCGCCTTGAAGTAAAAACATACACAGAGGAATACTACTTGCAGGAAAAATGAGTTACTCATGGCAAAGGAGAAATGTATGTGTTAGGGACCGAAGGGCATATACCACTATGTACTCCTCTAACAAAAACAAATGAGCACAAAGCTTGGAGCAGAGAGTGAGAGCCAAAAGCTTTTTTAACTGCAGAAGAAACTAAGGGGAAAAAGTGGGGGAGTGAGAGAGAAAGAGAAAATAAAAAGGAGTGTGTGTGTGTGTGCGCGCCTTTTGTGCATATTTTGGGGTGCATTCACAGGCTGTCGACGCAGCTACCAGCGTGTGTGCCAGCACATGAACGCTCTCCTGCCTATTCCCGAACATGTGTGTCCAATGAAAGGTGAACGGCTCTCCTGTCTATACTTTCCTCAGGAATCAGCCATGATGTCACCATGAACCCATCTTGAACCCACCTCTGTCAAAAAGCATTACTCCAGCCCTCCCTCTCTCTGCCTCATTTTCTGTTCCACCTCTCCCTCCTTCACGCTCCATTCCTGCTTCTCGAATTCTTCACTGAGCTCCCATTCTTTCACTCGCCTCTTTTTATCTTTCCGTATTCTTCAACATTTCCCCTCTCCCGTCCATGTATCTTTTCTCTCGCTGAAGCACACAAACTCTTTTTCCCCTCTTTTTTTTTTGGCATGCGTGGTCTAATTGAATCACCAAAAAAGCGCAGTCGTTTGCCAAAAATGCCAGGATGTTCTGATTATCATAAACTTTGTTTAAGCTGTGGTTTTACAAAGAAAATGCTCTGAGTGCATGAGGGGAAGCCAAAAAATAAAAGCAGGAAAAATGAGGAATAGGGGAGAATGCAAATGAAAGAGAGGCAAAGGGAAAGAGAGAGAACACTGGGGAGGAGAGGGGTGGTGGGGGCAGCGAGAAGGCAGCCAGAGAGCCACATATGGAAGTGATTCTGTAATTACTGCAAATCTGTGAGCTCAAAAGGAAAGGTCTTCTTTTCCATGCCTCCTTCCCTGCACATAAAACTGCCCTTGTGAGAAAGTTGGGCACTAAATACTGAGGAGGAAACATGAAAAAAAAAAATTAGTTTTCATTTGCTTTTGCTTTTTGGCTTGTGGGGTTGTTAAATATGTATAGGGTATATATTTAGCATGTTGAGCAGGTCTGCTTTTGCTATTTTTCTGCACAGATGAATAAAAAAAACTGATCATGAGGATAATTCCTCAGAGTCTAGAACTGGAAAATTCTCTGCATTCTTTGCTCATTTGCTGTGCTTTCCTGAGCTTAAACCAACCATCCCGGAAGCTAATCTAAAACAAACCGGGAGGTTCAGCCCGGAATACACTGAAGCCTCTCATCAGCCACACACCTAACTGCCATCATTGATATAAAGCACACATTCAGCAAGGTGTGCGAGGGAGTGGGGCGGTAAGGGGATGAGTGACATACATACAGACAGACGACGATGATGATGATGATGAAGACTGCCCCGGGCAAAGCAGCGCTTTGCAGGTGTGTATGTTGGCAGCCACTTCTGTTCTGCTCAGTCCCCAAACTGTTTCAGTAGCCTGTAATTATCTCGTGCCCTGCCATAACGTGTTTTCATGAGAAGCGCCTGAGTCTTACACGCATACAGTAAACACACCCGGATTGACACGGCTTGAGCCACATTTCTTCTTAGATATCCAATAAATTACAATTAAAGCACACAGTCCTACCTTCTTCGCCTAGAGTAGTGCATGCATCGGCTTCGAAAGCGAGCACATTCCCCCAGAAGTTTGAAACATGAATAATGGATGACAAGCACACGCACACCGAAGTTTTCTGTGGAGGACGCCAAACACAAAGTCAGGGGCAGTCTTCGGAGAAATCCTCCATTACATCACAGCAGCTTGGAAAGATCACGCCATTCGGGCTTACGTTTCAGAGATCATTTCAGTCATTTGTCAGATTGCCTTCGTTTGTTGTTGCCAATCCGTCACTGTGTCTCCGGCAGCTCAGGGGCGTTGATGGGAGCTATAGTGCGTGAAGATTTCTGGCACTGGGACTCCCTCTAGTGGCAGGGAAGGAGGACCGCAGCGTATGTCCTGTCAGAGGATGAGATGGAACACAAACAAACTTCAATAATTACGTAAGAAAATAACCGAACCAGTTAAGGCAATTCATTACTAGATGGACAGATGGAAATGATCAAATAGGATAAGATGTTCCTTAATATATATTTTAAAAAGGCTCATATAATAATACAACCTGGTCTTTCTGTTACAGCTTCGTAATAAACCTATTAGGACTACATCAGATTTATTTAAACAAAAATGTATTTTTTAAAATTTAAAACCGGATTTAAAAAACATTGTTTTTCCATTTCTGATTACCTTAGACATTGAGACTTTAGTGTGTCATTATATAGTGAATGAAATTTGATTTTCAAAAGCGAATTGTTTGTCTGCAACATCACTAAATCATCATTTAAGATAGATAACCTTACCTTGAGGACACAGATTGACGTTTTTTGTTTTTTTTACTTTCTTTAAGGCTAAGGCACTTAAGGGACTGAGCATATTCCAGGCCCTGGCCCTAGCATACAGCGCGGACGAGAGGTAATTTTCAAATAATCAATTTAGTCGTTTTTATCAAAACAGCATCATACACTTAAATGTAAACTTCTTTTTTCTTTCTTATTTGTTTTCTTTTCTTTACCTTGTTTAATGTCCACATTATTCCTCTGGTAACCCCGTGTTTAACGTCACAACGCTATGAACTGTGGGTTATTCCCTCAGGCAAAGTCTGCAGAGATGCAGATTTAACGGAAAGTGTGCATTTAGGGGCTAAAAAACTTTTCACAGCAGTCCCTGCGGCTTTTCCGGGAACGCGCCTCAAAAAATCCGCGAGTCCGTGAGTGTGGAGATTGGGATTGGGCCATAGAATTCCGCTACTGTGTTAATGCTATCAATTGCCACCGTGGGGCGCTTTCCACAAGCTGTGTAAAGTTGTTCCAACCTGTTAAAGGACAAACAGTAAACTATACAGTTTGTTGCTGACTGGATGTTGTGAACTGTAGCCTATTGTTGCGCAAACACCTTTTAAAGATAAATAAAATGAGAAACTGTGAAAACTGACCTCACCCTCAAGTGCACAGTGTGGTTGAACATAGCCACACGTGCAGAAACAATTAAATAGCCTATAAGATTTACATTTTCAGCACTAATGATGTCAGCCAAAGTTGAGTTTTTGCATACGGATCGCTTAAACAGCATGTTTCTGCCGTGCCACAGGTCCAGTTGCACATCTACAGTTTCCTTTGGCACATGAGCTTTAAACTTGTTTGTTGTTTAGCACGTCGACGTTTGACTTGTCTCAGTGTTTACCATCCGTTTGCGGCGCTACTTCTCAGAGAACAAGCAGTCACGGTGAGCCACGCCCAGTGTCCATGTGCTTCATCCTCCAATCTCTCCATCCCTCTGCACCACGCGCTCCGTATTTTGCATAAAATGTGTATCAGTAGGGCAGCGCTCTCCCCGGCACATGCAGAGCGCACATGTAGCGTGGCTTTACTGAACACATACCACGGCCGAATAAGCGCATCAAACTCCCCTCAGCGCAAGATCCCCGCCAATGAGAATGCACAAAAGCGTGTAGGGGAAAGAGAGGGAGAGAATGGACTCCGCGAGATACAAAGAGTGAGCCAAATCCCACGCAAAAAAGACACAACACAAGTTGAGCGAACGCAAAGGCGGTCACATTTCCTATACTCACCTGCAAACGTGTTTGATGTGGGTGTTTGTATCAGTGGGTGTGCGTATCAGTGGGTGTGTATGTTTTGCCTGACACCCCGTTCACGGACCTGCTGACTCTACTTTCTTGGAATTCATAAGAATCATTTAGCCTAATCTCCGCTCGTGCTACATCACATCCTCTCCAGCCGGGGCGCAGTATCCAGAGCTCAGAAGGCATCCAGGTATCTTTGAGACCAGCTCGTCTAACTCACCTCTTTCAGACAAGAGCAGAGCACTAAGAGACACACCTGCTGACAGTTTACTGGGAAAACTTTGCATGCACTGGACACATTTCTGTCACTGCGTCCTCTTTTTGCGCTCCATGGAGAAGGTGTTTTACCCAAATCTGTTTTTTGACTTTCTCACCTGTCTTCAAAAGAGTTTTACTCCGGTCTAGTCACATTCACGGACGTCTATCTTCAAGACTGTTTACAGCCGTCGACATCAACAAGAGAAATGGATAACAGCCCTGGTAAGAATAACTTCAATATTATGTTTGACATACAACCACCGTTACATTATTATTACAATGCTGACTAAGACGAGCGTTTTCATTCATTTTGTTGCCAGGGGACAACTATTTAGCTGTGTTACCCAAACCTAAAATAAAATGACTTTAATTTAAATGTAATACATCTTTGATTAATATAAGGCAAAGCAGCACTGATGTAATTTATTATTTGACTGATTGTGTAAAACACTAAAACACTCGCCTATGTGCATAATTGGCAATTATGTGTGCTATCTAATGTGTGAGTTCTCCTCTGGCGCACGAAATATTTAAATAGGCTACGCAAGTGTTTGACTGAACTGAATAATTTTATTGGTTTACCAAGTGATTGTGACAATTAGGCTACGCTTATGCACGAGTTCGCTTCAGGCTTTACTCACTTCAACTTGTTTCTAAGTTCAATAAAAGTACAATGCAAAAGTCAAACTTTACGCAAACGTGTCAAAAGTTTGGGGCGCTGTGTTCAAATGTCAAATCGCAGCGCTTGGACTGCAGCGCTTCTGAGAGCGAACCGCGCCATACGGTTGTAGTGAGGCTGACCACTTCCTGTTTCTCTCCATGAAAACAAACTCACGTGGAGCTTCAGCACACTGGCTGTCACTGTAATTATAATCTGTACGAGCCAGAACTTCAAATGCACACTAGCCCTCTATCATCTCACGGGGGAAAAAAACAAAAGACACTTTGGCGTAAACGGCGTGTTTGCTTCTATTATCAAGGCCATCGCTTAAGTGCCTGCAGCAAAAAGTTGATAACAGGACTTCCGCTAAGTGGTATTAGACAGAGTTTTCGAGGTCAGCCAAAGGTGCACATGCTTTTTGCTTTCCTCTACTATTGACAGTGAACAATTTACAACAGCGACGGTCACGTTCCAGCACAGGTGATGGGCGCACCCTGCGCTCCGTCAACATTGCTCTAATCTGAAGACAACACTGAACCCACGCACCGGGTTATGGATTTCTATTTATGTTGATAAATTGGGCCAGTGTTTTTCACGGAACAGGGAGGGCAGTTAAATGAGTAATCATAAGAGATGTAGTATTGGCCAATAAAGATGAAGACTGCATGCTGGGCTTTTATGTTGGTGTTTTATTGATGTTTGGTGTTTGTGTGAGTGAGGGCAATTTCAATTTTTGTTATGGTTTATTTATAAATTGTAAAGTTTATATAATTGTTTATTTCCTATTTAAATGATGGTTCATATTTCAATTGTCCATAAGTCTTGTCATTTAGCCTATTCTTCCTCTCCTGGATGTAAATGTAAATGACCACCTTGAACTGGGTTCACTGACCTTTTGATGTTTCAGTAACATTACTGAAATGCACATGACAGCATTTCACTTATGAGTTCAGTGTAGTATCTACACAAAGCTTGTAAACATCATAATAACCTGGCAAAAATATGGCTGCAGTGGTGAGCTGTATGGCTCATAAAGTCCTGCAGATAAAATTAGATTGTTTGTGTGTTGACACAGAACCCCCATTTCAACCACAGAGATCATGAGGTTGTGGAGTTGATGAGGCTGCATGTAAATGCAGAATTCAGCTGAAAAATTCAGCTGAAAGATTATTGCAATGATTCATTCATTTAACAATGTGTCTTACATGTCATATAACATCGGCTACATGATAGTCCCACATTTTAAGGGATTTTAAGGATCAGTAAATATTAGATAATTTTACATATTAATTATGCAAATACTTTAACATGCATTTTGATGTAAGTCCATCTTTTCATCAAATTTGGATATCCTTGACCTTGTGAAGTGCCAACTGTAGGCTACTATGTGGGAGTCAGTTAAGTATTTCATCTTTCTTGACACCAATATCAGTTTGTTCAGTTGCACTGTAACATTTAGCTGTCAAGTGATGCTCATTTGTTAAAAACGGCCTGAACAACTGACTTTCCCCACTGCATGCTCTCACTCATTAATACTTCCACTGACACGCCCCTGGTGGAGGTTTTCCCGATTATTCTGAGCTACTTTCAAACAGCCAGACCTTATAACTCAGGCCTATTCTTCATCATCATCTGAAAACCATAACGTCTTTGGTTCGGTATTTAACCTGACAAAACCATTCAGAGAAAATGCAGTAGTGGGGGCCAATTTCTGCCAACATTCAAACTATCAGTCACCCATAATAAAACATGTGCTATTAATAAGCTAACCACAGGAGTTTGAAGGCCAGTAAAATAGGCTAAGTAGACTACAATCTAATCAAATTACACATATTTCATGTCAAACAGTAGTCCTATCCCCAAAATAGGCTATATGGGCATTGAAAATATAAAAAAAACTGTTTCCCAAAACAAAAATAGGAGTAGACCGATGTCTTTTTCAGGACACACTTAATAACATCAGTCAGTCTCTGAATGGAAGGAATTGAGTGGTACAACTGACCTATGGCCCAACTAAACCCACTCTCCCCTCTTCTATATATTATATTCTATATATTTTAAAGTAGGCTACTAGGTAGGCTATTACCAAAAGAGATTTTAAGAAAACAACAAAATTTTTGGCTATATGCCTATTAAATAGGCTATAGGCATATGCTATAATTCAAGAGGAGTAGCGATTTTATATAATAGAGAAATTTTATTATCATATGCATTTCCTCCAATATAAACTTGGATCTGGCCACATACTGGTACAACACAGATCCTCCTGTTTCCAATGCAGCGCCTGTGTGACGTGCGGGCGGTGCTGCTGCTGGCGCACAGTCAGACCACCCCGCCGCATAACATGCTGCTCTATTTAATTTGGCTCTTTAATTATAAGCCCCTGGCGGACTGTAGAGGCTGTGGCTTCTGGCTGGAGCGCCAGGCTTCATGTCTTCCCAGTGAAAGCTCTGTCAAAAGCCTCCTCACGTGGCTTCCCTTGCAGAGCCGCGTGCGACGCGTGAGATACCCGGGCCCTCCTCCCGCCTCCATGCCGCTTCCCCGCTCTCACGGACGCTTCTGTGTTGATGCCGCCTGCGGTGATGGTGAGGGAGACCTTGGTCAGTGGGTCAGCGATTCCATGCATTAACTTTTTTTTCTCTCTCTCTCGTCACGTTTTCCCGCCTCATGCGCCTCTCGCTGGTACTGAAAGCCGTGTGGTAGAAGCGCACTCGATTTTGACTCCGCAACATCTGTCCCCGACTCATCAGTTCAGGGCACACATCCGCTTAGAGTGGGTTTCAGCCGGAACGTGACTCAGCTGTGAAACATAACATCTCTCCTCTCACCCGATGCGTTTAAAACAGAGAATCCTGAAAACGGGTGTTTTTCAACCCATGTTTGACAGGATGTGCAGAGATTATAGCCACATTGAACCATAAAAAAGACGAGACTGGATAGATAAAATTGATTCCTGGGCTATCCTTGTGTTTAGGCTATTACATTCAAGCTGTCCACTGTGATAATCTAATAGGGCTCCTCCTGATAATTGCATGAGCCAGAGCTGGTGTGTGAGGCAGCACCAGTCTGGAGAGATGCTAGAGGCACAGGGTCACAATTGTAAACTTCCTGTGATATTGACCTACTTACACAAGCCTGAATTAATGAAGTCTACTGCAAACAGCCAAGTAGTTCTCACCAGCCTGATGTGCTCACAGATTGGCCTTCCTTTCTAAATTGTCTCTGGTAGCACACAATAATTCCTTTTATTGGCCATAGCCTACAAGCATAATAGCCTCCACACTTTTCTGTTACAGCATAATACACATTGTAACTAAACTATTGCTCTAAAGAAGCAAACCATGTGCCATTTTGTACACCACAAGGATAAAAGAACACTAGTGGTCGCCTGAACTGTGGCTTTCTGTCCATGGCCTGCATTAGCCTATAAGGTGAACCGAGTGAAAGTAAGAGATAAAGGACAAGAGAGAAACAGAGAGGAGTGGAGCTTTTTTGTGTGCAAAGTGCTCACTGCTCACGTTCCTCCACCTGCCTACTGTCCCAGGCAGATTAGTGCTTGCACGGGTAGGCTAAATTAGTTGAGGCAAAGTAAGATGGGCAGTGAGGAAGGAGTTTCATACAATTTGAAATGAATTAATAGGCCACATCTAAAATCCACAAACAGTTCAGTTTATAAGTTTATTGCTATTACAGGCTGCTAATAATAAGAATAAAAACAGTAAAGCAGCCCATCACATAATCAATCGATAGGTGATCCCAAAAGCATGCAGCCTGCAGATATTTCAAAACAAAAATATCATGCTATGTTTTTCCTCAACCAGTGACAACTAATGCCTTCATTGAACATAGGTAGTGATACTGCTATATCATAACAAAAAATGTAAGAAGAAGAAAATCTGTATAATGTGCTAAACAGCAGTGGATGTTTATTATTTAATTATATTAACCTTACTATAACAATTGACACGTGCAGGTGACGGTTGTATAGTAGCCTATCTGTCCATCTAGGCTTCTCAAGCAGACAGTAAAACTGATTAGCTGATAGTGTTTGCTGCAGAGTGGCTCTAGGGGTCATTCATAAACACAGGTCTACTGTACATGTGAGTCTTCAGGTGGACATGCAATGTGTTTGGGTGGGGTGGGGGTTGGGCCACGACTGTCTGCATGTAACCTCAGGAAGAGGTGAGGCTCGGGCCTGCATCTGCTGGGTCTGTCTAGGGCTCTGGCATGAGTCAACAACCACCAACACGTGCCGGTTGAGGGATTATCAAAACATCTGAGCTAAAACAAACCGCGTGTAGCAAAGGGCAACACACGACACAGGGGCAAGCCTTCAGTTACTGCGCTAGTGCAGGATTTCCACATACAAGGCTCAGTTGGTCAAAACACTGCGCCATGGCGTTAATTTTTGATGTTGAAAAAATTTTTGAATATTGTAAATGTATCATTGCATGTGCAAGCCAATCATAACTTAAGTTTTTAATTGTACCCATTTGTTTAGATTGGCTTCGATATATCTTAATTTGCATAATTTGTTATTCTGAACGTCTCTCTGCTGGACTCTACTGTACACTGAGTTGTTAGTATATTATTAGGCTACATCCAGTCCAGTCCACAGCCAACAGTTGAGGCTTTTCCTTTGCAAAAACGTGACTCACATTCTCTGACTCCTGCGGTGGCGCATGAACGGCAGTGGCTGAGTGTTGGTGCCATCTCACGCCCGGGGAGCTTCCCAGTCAGCGTATGTTTGTAAACACAGATCTGACTTAAGATCGCTGTGCAGTTCAACACGAGACTGCGGATTTAGGTTCGGCCAGTAACCGTGTCAGGAGTCCATGCATGTGAGGCAGCGGTCAGGTGTCGTGCTGTTAGCTGGCGCTGGGCACGGTGCCAGGGGAGCGAGGCTATTATTGGAGCGGAGGAGGCAGCAGACACGTGAGGCCGTGTCTCAGCTCATCCACAACGCATGACTAGAAGAGCCGGGGGGGGGGGATAAAACAACCACAGCTATTTACACGGTGCCTGTAAAAATACATTAGCACGATGCAGGAATTATTTACAAAAGGTAGGGCTTCTGCCTGCTTTGTCGCTGTGCTACCAGCAGTATTTTTAGCGCCCACTTTACCCGCTTGATCGCACAATTACGCCTTTTACACTCTGGATGAAGGAACAACGCTGCACATTCTCAGAGTTGTTCTCTGCTACCCAGAGGTTGTGCAACATTACATCACATCACATCCAAAGTAGTAGAGTAGCTGAATGGTTTGTAAGGAAATATGACTATTATATAACTTAAATTTATAGCTACCACTTTTAATCAGTTTAATTCAGCTACATGTATGGTGTACAAAAAATGTCTTATCGATATCTAAATGACATTGTATGCTTTAATTAGGAGCTTGAACTCAAAATCAGCTGATCACTAACTCTCAGCTCAGAGGTCTCACCGATTCATTCCCTTATGTGCAGGAGGTGGAGTTATCCTGTATGCAGGCTCATCTGGCAGTGCCAGCCCCAGCCCCGGCAGCCCCTCCAGCGGGTACCAGACACAGTCACCGTCTTCACACTCCCAGCCCTCATCTCCAGAGGAGGTTACGTTCACAGAGATTGGGGCGCTGAAACAGAGGGCAGGTGGGTGCAACACCCCATCCTCCAAACTGGTGTTCCAGTTTCCCGAGGTCTACAGTGGCCCCTCGGCAGCAGCCACTCCACAGCATACCTATGCGCATCCCATCGCGGGAAAGAGGCCATGCGGGTTCACAGGAACTTTCACAAGTTAGTGTTTCCACATTGTTGATATTATGCATAAAGAATTCTTCCTTGATCGAATTTATTGCATCTTATCTAACTGTCTGTTTACCCTTCCTCAGAGACAGGTGGAATGGTCCTGCTTTGCAAAGTCTGCGGGGACATCGCATCTGGTTTCCACTATGGCGTGCATGCATGTGAGGGTTGCAAGGTAAGGTCCCTGATGAGAAAAATCAGGTCAATGATCATCAGTGTGGAATGATGTGTTGCTTTATGGTGCACCAGTTTCAGTTTTTTTTTGTTTGTTTGTTTGTTTGTTTCAGGGTTTTTTCCGCCGCAGCATCCAGCAGAACATCAACTACAAGATGTGTGTGAAGAACGAAAACTGTCTGATCATGCGCATGAACCGCAACCGGTGCCAGCACTGCCGCTTCAAGAAATGCCTCTCTGTTGGCATGTCAAGAGATGGTGAGACATCCTGACACATTTTTAACGAGAGAGAGAGAGAGAGAGACCCATCCTCGTGCAGTTCTGCCAGGATGCACAGTGCTCTGATTAGCCAAAGCAGCAGGGAAATGGGCAGCCGAAAGAGCCGCAGTACTGAAATGTGGGTCTGTGTGAAAAATGTAATGCGGAAAGTCTTTTGAGGTCATCGTGCCAGTAGCTCAGTCACTCACTTTGTCAGCAGACGTGCACCTGCCTTGCCCTTCTACTGTGTCACTGCACTGCCAAAGATTACCATCTGGCCTTGTAACTCTCTTAAGTTTCCAAGTGTCTTTCTCCTGCCCTTTGCAGCATCCTCCCACAATGCCGTTACCTCTGTGCTCTTGTTCGCTATGGCCCCTCCCCCTCCATGTACCCACCATGTTCCCTCTGCTCTCTTACATCTCCCCCTCAGACAATGATTTATGAGAAAAGGAGCCTTGAAGTCCCCTAAGCTATCTATCATCTGGAAAACTGCAGCAAACACAGGAATTATTTTAGGAAATTGGAACGGGGTCAACTTTATTACCCATAGAACATCTTACTGCAATTAATGAGGGACAGGGCAACGATTAAGCAAGGGATGCAGAAAACAGCCAGTCGTTGTGACAGAATTTATCAGGCGTGATGCTCACATCACCTAGTTTTAGCTCTGATAGCTGAACATTGATTGATCACCTTTCATCGCAGATTAAGAAAATAGCTGAGCTGACCTAGAAAAACAATTGAGGATTGAGCCTATAGTGTACTCATACATCATGACCTACTTGGTGTAGTTTGCCTGTCTTCTTCCTCTCAGTATGGTTTCTGCTCATCTCCGCCCTCCACCACACAGCATTGCCTAATCTAGTAAAGAGGTTAGTGTTATTTCTGCAAGTGCTTGACACTTCTGGTGCACAGAGAAAATAGGGTGGTAAAATACGACTCAATAAGAGAACAAAGAGCCAGGTCGACCCTCTTGGAGGAGATTTTCGAAAGCGTTGAGGGCCACAACCTAGAAACCCCTTTTTGCTCTGTTTCAACCATTACGAAAACAGGAAAACCGCACGCAACTGCCTGCAGCCCACAATAAATAGTACACCCTGATTTCACACCAGGCAGCTGTGTGTCTTTGGCTCTGCAATATAGGCAAATATTTAATTCCGTTGGCATGATGGCACACTTTTCTTCCTCTAACCAGAGCATCCTTTTTAGAGCAACAGCTCACTAGTCCGCATTGGCTTCTTTTTAACCACGATGAAAGGAATTCAACTCACGCCACATTATTGGCCCCATCCTCATGAAGGATGGCAATGAACAGATTACTGTATATTTGGTAAACATAGCAATATTGACCAAGCATATTAATGGTCCTAGAAAATCACCTCACTTGACCCAGCACAGTGTCATTATGTTTTTAGGCAAATAGCTTATGTTTAACATATGCCCCCCCCCCACATACACACACATACACACACATACACACACATACACACACACACACACACACACACGCACACATACTCTCAGTATATCTCTTTATCTGTATCACTGTCTCTGACATCAGACCTCTTCATGTTCTCACTGCTGTCTTCTCAACTCTTTTCTGTGCTTCAAGCCCACCTCTCTTCATCCTTCTCCCTCTCACGATCTCAGTGCCGGTGATATCACACTCACGTTGCCCCACTGCCCTACTTACAAGTGCAGGGAGGGAGCGGGAGAGGAAGGAGACGGGTGGATAGAGGAGAGGATGAGGCAGATGGTAGCAGGGGGTCTATAAATAGCCTCTCCAGCTGATGGTTACTGTGGGAAGGGGGATGGGGGATATGGGTGAGGAGAGGGAAGTTTTCGTCTCACAACTTATATGATTCTCCTTGAAATCATGCTATACTTGAGCTTTTGATGTGCACGTGTGCCTCTTGATCTTTTAAGCAATTCATTTGTCAACAACAAACAAACAAACAACACTGGGATTGACATAATTTTTTGTCTAGAAAAAAATGCAGTACAAAACATGTCCAGTGGAAATGCCCATGTTGTCGCAATGACCGGCTGCTGATCTGTCCTCACTGCTTGTGTCTTCCCTAGCTGTGCGTTTCGGCCGCATCCCTAAGAGAGAGAAGCAGCGACTTCTGGATGAGATGCAGAGCTACATGAACAGCCTAAATGAGTCAGCTGCCATGGACATGGACTCGTCTTCAGTGAGGGACGCTTCCTCCAGCCCAGATGATGGCAACTCGAAAGAGGCCATTGGGGCCATCTCCAGAGCCTACCGCGACATCTTCACCAGCCGCAGAAGCAGCAGCCAGGAGAGAGCAGCCAAGAGGGCTAACATTATCACCACCAACAACAACACATCTCCCTTTTCTCAGGATGCCAGTTTTCCCCAAGCCTCCTCTCACCCCGCCCCTGCCCAGAGTTACCAGTCTTGCCCTGTTGCTTCTGCCACTCGATGCCCAGTTGCCCCTAACAACAACCCACATACATTCCACAATGTGGACAACAATCGCTATACCTACTTAGTGTCAGCTAATCAGAATAACAATCACTCAACAAGTACAACACCTCAAAGGAGCAGCTCTGACAATCACAACAGTTTTCACAATGCAGGAAGTACCCAAAATCAGCCCTCCTGCCCGTGGAAATTAGCTCCAGGAGCTAAAGTGCTGGTAAGTGCAGGAAGCATACTACTTAGATCCAGACTCTTGTGATATATCTTGCCGGACCAACAATGTATGATGTCTTTTTTTGTCTTTCTCTAAGGCATGTCCTCTAAATGCGTGGCCTGTATCGGGGGCAGAGCGCACGAGTCAGGAGATATGGGAATCCTTCTCTCAGTGTTTCACTCCTGCTGTCAGGGAGGTGGTAGAGTTTGCCAAGGGCATCCCAGGTTTTCAAGAGCTTAGCCAACAAGACCAGGTCATGCTGCTCAAATCAGGCACCTTCCAGGTAATGTCATACATTTCAAATGATTCATGCTGGTCATAAATGTAAAATCGGTGTGACTTCTTTATTTTTGTTGGTGTAAGGATTTGTCTCAATCTAATCATTGTGTTTCTCTGTTTTGTGTGTGTTTAGGTTTTGATGGTGAGGTTCTGCACCTTGTTCAATGCCGAGGAGCGTACAGTGACCTTCCTGAATGGCCAAACATACCCCCTGTCCACCCTGCATGCGTTGGGCATGGGCTCTCTGCTGGATGCAATGTTTGACTTCAGTGAGAAGTTGGGCTCCCTGGGGCTAGAGCCTGATGAAATGGCCCTCTTTATGGCTGTTGTGCTGGTCTCTGCAGGTAAAGGAGGGACACTATTGCATTAATGAGTGGTAAAACTGTGAGAAAAGCTACAGAGCAGTGACACTTTGATAATGAATCGGTTATGTAATAACTGTACCCGTCAACCACTCACACTTACATTCTCTGTGCTCCTCAGACCGTTCTGGCATCTTGGACATGCGGGCTGTGGAGCAGCTACAGGAGGGTCTGATCCGTGCCCTGCGGTCACTGATCACTCGCCGTCGCCCAGATGACACCGCCCTCTTCCCCAAACTCCTCCTGCGCCTGCCAGACCTGCGCACCCTCAACAATCTGCACTCTGACAAACTGTTGGCCTTCCGCATCAACCCTTGAGCAGGCTGCTTGTTCACAGTGCACACAGACAAAAAAAAACTGTTTTACACAGAAAGAGACAGTACACCACACACGCATACACACAAACACACGCACAGATATTATCTTCCAAGGGCAGGACTTCCTTGAAAATTGTGGAACAAGGAATTGTGCAATCTGAGGATCGTTTTTCAAAAGGATGAATGAGGGAAGTAGCGAACTCATTTTTGATTCGTTATCGATCTTCATGCAATGTTTTAGGACATACAAACACACACATGTAAACTCATGTAAACACATAAACCTCAACACCTCTTGAGAGACATTGTCCCAGTAAAAAAATAAATGATCATGTAGAGTTACTATTACCCTTATGGACAAATCATTTGTGCACTTGCTCATTATATCCAAAAAAACAGTTCACTTCTGTTTATTCCTTAAATCGTACGTTATCAACAGGCCATCACCAAGCAGCAGCTGAAAGATGGATATTGTAGATCCAAACAGTTATTACTTAGGGACCATTAGTGTTGATTGACTACATGTCAGTTTGTGTTTAAGACAAAGGGAATCTGTATATAATACCTAGTGAAATCTGATATATTAAGGTAATTGTGTAACTGTTTCACAAACATACCATCTGCATTAGTACTGGAATGAGACCACTATTTTAATGTGTCACTTGCACACAATAGGATGCATTCTGTCTCTTACTATTTGATTGATCTTCCAGAAAACATTTAGCACACCTCGGGTTTAGATATGCCAACTTCAGAAGTCCAAGGGCATTTTATATTATTTCACAAAAACTAGTGTCTGCATCACTATATCGTGTCACATCTGGACTGATGGAAACACTCCATTGCATGTTGGATTTTGGAGTTCCTTTGTTTATTTTTGTTGCTGTAAATATTATGTTACCACAATGTTTTTGTATCAATGACTGAACTGATGTGATGGATTGTACAGATGAGTTTGGTGTAAAGAAGAATGTATTGATCTTCCAATATTAGGAGGTGCCACGGGGGCTTTGCACAGGAGAATATGTAAAAGGGATTCTCAGACGTCTTAGACGTACTTCCTGCTATCAGATTATGTAACCAACCAGCATAATCCCAGAAATCACCAGCACTCACTCAACATGCACCCTTCCTCTGCCGCCAATGTTTGTCATACAAACACAAAAGATATTTTGGGGTGAGAGATCTAATTTAATTGGTCCTCTCACTGTTTGCTTGTTTGATTGTGGCTGATTGAGGACATCTTGTACATTTTGTAAATCTTTCTTCCTAAATATAAATGATATAATGATATAAAGTTCAAATGATGTATTACTCTAGTTGTGTGTTGTTCTTTTGTGTCCATTCAGTAAAGTAAAGATGTGCTGAGTAGTTAGGACTGTATGAATCTAATTAGTTATGAAACTAGTTAGATTACATTACATTGTCATTATCTAACACCAGTTTATGCCCTGTGCATAACTTAGTCACTTAGAAGGGTGTTTGCCATCATAGCTAGAAACGTAGCTACAGAGTACAACAACGTAGTTCATTCAGCAGTGGATAACGTCAGCAGTGAAAGTAGTATTCAGATATTTTACTTAAGTAAAGGTAGTAATAAGACAATGGGGGGAAAATAGTAGTAGTCCAAGTAGTCCAAGTCTTGCATTCAAACTCTTAAGCAAAAGTATAAATGTGGATCAAAATATACAAAGTACCAAAAGTGAAAGTACTCATGTAGAATGGCTCAATTTTTGAATTATATAGGCTATATCAGGCTATATTACTGGAATATAATTAGTGATGAATTCATATATCACTTTAATGCTGCAGCTAGTAAAGGTGGTGCTAATTTAATTGACTTTATATACTGCTGGGTTGCTTAACCCATAAGAATATATCATAATTTATTGGTTGATTTATATTTTGTATCAGTAATCTGCAAAGTAACTAGCCCTTTAGAACTAACTAAATACATAAAATAAATGTAGTTGTGGTGGAGTAAAGAGTGCAATATTTGCCTGCAAAATGTAGTGGGGTAATAGTAAAAAGGAACATAAAATGGAATACACAATTAAAGTACAAGTATGGCAAAACTGGAACTTAAGTAGACTTCTACAGCACTTACATGTACTTAGTTACATTCCACCACAACTTGTTATTGTTGTGTGTTGTACTGTACAGTGTTGGAGTCTGTATGCAGAGTTCATAAAAAAACATGAAAAAAAGCTTTTTTCAGTAACTACTTACTTCAAAGTACAAACTGTTAAAGAATTAATAAAATCAAACCTTAAGAATAGACTGGCTCTCCAACAAAGCTGCAACACTGGATGCCTGAAAACATGACCAACTTTCTCCAACTCCTGGAAATCAAAAAACAAAATAGGGATGCCACCTTGTGGTGAAATAATAGATCCCGGATGCCGGAAGTGAATGGTCTGTTTGCTGGCACACATACCTGTATGTTGTATCACTTTGTTATGTTTTATGTTATTACTTTTGTACGTCGTGTAACTACTATGGGACTGAGGTCAAACGGCACGGTAAGATGTATCATTTACTATGACAGAGTGTAGTGAAAAGCATATGGTAGGATTGTAACGTTACAACGATTTTATTCTTAACGTTAATAGCAGGTTAGCTTGTAGGCTAGCGTTAGCTAAATAACAATAGCATGCAGGTACATTTCAGCGCCTTCAATTTCGTTTTTAAGTAAATTAACTTAATTTGCCAATAATAAAGCTTACCGTCATTGATACAGGTCGTATGCTGGCGTAACAAGCTAATAACGTTTGTGTCCTAGCAGCTATAACGTTGAGTAAATTCCTAAAGGTAAACATTTTATTTGCCAGGCTAGCTACGAATAAACATGGCTTATTAACTTATTAATAACTCTAGTAAATTATGTAGTGTTAACGTAAGCGCTCCTCTTTCTGTATGTACTACTTGTTCACCTTGTCTCTTCACAGGTGCTGAGAAATAAAAAGAAAAGAGTTGAAAACGCCCTAGGACTTCGGGTTTGACCTCAAGTGGGTGCAGTTTATCGCACCATGTTGGTGACCGCATATCTTGCCGTCATTTTGCTGCTTGCCCTGTGTGTTGGCCTGGAGCTCACAGCACGCCGCCTCACCCCACCTCAGTCTACTCCTACTGCTGTAGCCAACCCAGCTTTCCGTCGCTTCCAGAGTATATTCCTCCGAGCATACCTTTTGGCTTTGTGGGCAGACTGGCTCCAGGGTCCTTACCTCTACAAACTGTATCGCCACTACAGCTTCCTGGAATCCCAAATAGCCATCTTATATGTGTGTGGTCTGGCCTCCTGTGTTCTGTTTGCTCCTTTTTCAAGCTGGCTGCCTCAAGCCTTGGGCCGCAGACGGACATGTCTTGTCTTCTGCTTGTCCTACTCTGCTTGTTGTCTCACCAAGCTGTCCAGAGACTACTTTGTTTTGATTGTGGGCCGTATCCTGGGGGGTCTGTCCACATCCCTACTCACCACTGCATTTGAAGCCTGGTATGTGCACCGTCATGTAGACGTCCATGATTTTCCCAAGGAGTGGATCCCCAGCACCTTCACAAAAGCTGCCACCTGGAACCATGGTCTCGCTGTGGGAGCAGGGCTGGTGGCTAACTTGCTTGCAGAGTGGCTCCACCTGGGACCGGTGGCTCCCTTTCTCCTGGCGGTCCCCAGCCTGGTGTGCTGTGGCTGGGTGGTGCTAACAGACTGGGGCAAGGAAGAGGCAGAAGAAGGCCCTGAAGGGGACAAACAAACACGGCTTCTTGGCGCTCCAAATGGAGGTGTGAACCATTTGTCTGCGAGGGCCCGGTTCTCACGCAGCTGCCATGATGGGTTGCGCTGCCTGCTGTCTGACAGGAGAGTCATGCTCTTGGGTGGAGTGCAGGCTCTGTTTGAAAGTGTCCTGTACATTTTTGTTTTCCTGTGGACCCCGGTACTAGACCCTCATGGGCCTCCTCTGGGAATAGTGTTCTCTTGCCTGATGGCTGCCAGCATGGTCGGCTCCTTGCTGTACCGCCTCGCCACCTCCACGCGCTACCGTCTACAGCCTGGCCATGTTCTCTGCGTGGCTGTGCTGATGGCCTTCTTCTCCTTCTTCATGCTGACCTTCTCCACTGCCCCAGGCCAGCCTAGACCTCATGAATCCTTTCTGGCCTTCCTGCTGCTGGAGCTGGCCTGTGGCCTTTACTTCCCTGCAGTCAGCTTTCTCCAGGGCAGGGTCATCCCAGAGGAGAAGCGGGCTGGTGTACTGGCCTGGTTCCGCCTGCCTCTGCACCTGCTGGCCTGCCTAGGGCTGCTGGCGCTCCATGGAGAGATATCAGGAACAGGTGCAGGAGAGGATGGCAGCGGCACCAGACACATGTTTGGAGGCTGTGCAGTCATGATGCTTGCAGCTTTGATGGCTGTAATCAGTCTGTTCACCCTGGGCAGAAACGACACAGACCTGAGACTGGAGGGAACCAGAGGGGAGGGCGAGATGGACTGAGGAGATGGACCATATGTCCATTTCTGCTGGACTGGTTTCAAATGTATTGTGCCAGTTTTGTGTGTCTGAAGCCACGTGTACATACATCTAAATTTTGCAAAATGCTTCAGGGAAGGAAATAAAAGGGGGTGTTTTTTAGTAGATTAAAATTCAATTTAATTTCCATTTTTACATGTTTTCCTCTTATCATCTTTGTTGTTTTTTGGAGATAATTTTACTAATCCTATCTGTCTGGATACTTTGGAAACATGGCCATTTACATTTGTCAAGTAAATTGCTGGAAGCTTTGTCAGTCATGTCCAAAACTCCAGTGTCATTCCTACTAACTATTCCAGTTCACACGCTGTTGCCTCATTATGTCCACTTATAGAGAGATGTAGGGGGGATAATGCATTTCACTGGTCAGTATCTCCATGAAGATCAGTGACGTAGTAATTCCATCATGTGTTTTTAAAGCAGACATGAAAAGGTTTACAAGAAATAAGAGCATGACTAGCATATAGACAAGTTTCTGAATGTCAGTTCTTAGAATACTTCTTCCACGATACTTTGTTTTATCTTGTTTCTTCCAGCACAGTATGTTTTTATTTAAAAAGAGTGATCTACAGCAGGTCAGTTTTACTTTGAATGCTTTTTGTGCACCGTCTACAGGATATTGTTTTATCTCAACATTACTGTTACACTTTTAAATAAAAGTATAAATTTAATTCATATTTATTTGTTTTGTATTACCTGACTTTGTTGTATTGTAATTTGCCACATATTAGCTGTCCAAGCACATTTTAACTACATTTTATTTATTTTTTATTCAAAGTTAACTTACCTCTTAACTTCAAAGTCTCATTCTGTACCAGTCTTTTTATTTTTTTTAATAGTGTTATAATGGAAATTAATTTCAAAGTTTCAGCTGTAAATTGTTCACCTTTTACTGAAAAAAAGCCACTTGTATATCAGGTAATTCTGATGCAAGAAGCCCATTTAAATTCAAAGAATTCATTTAAACTTGCATTGACTCCTGTGATAAAACTGGACATCTTACAATATTTTAGCCCTTGCAATTCCCCTCGCGTAGTTTTTGCTGCAGACCATATTTCGAGATTACTCTGGACTTTTCTCCTCCTAACGGATCATGCAGGCATCCATCCTCCCCGTTTTTGCTGTGGTACAGTCGCAGCTTTTTCTCTATGGCGCAGCTTCACCTGGATGCTGCTAGAATGTCCCGTCGCGGGTGAGGGAGGGGTATCTGCACGAGTCTTAACTGCGTTATTTTGGAATTACATCACAACATCGTCAGAGAGTGTTTGAGCTGGCAAGAAGAGCACCATCTGTCCGACGTCTTTTCTCACAGTTTAGCTAAACTCCGCAAGAACTGCGACCATCAAGAAAGCCGACACCAGAGCCCCATTGACCGGTTGGCATACAGAACAAGATAACCTACTGCGAGACGACAGACAGACACCATGACACAGGGCAAGGTATGAGCTTTCTTTAATCGTGTCATTCAGTTAATATTTTCGTCTTTATCTACCTTTAACTTTCCTATTAATCGATTAAGGACTGCACAGCTCTGTATTTGTAATTTTTGTATGTGGGGCCAATTTGTTATGTAACAGTTGCAATGCGTGTCTCTACTCAGTCTCTTTAGTCTCACTATTGTCAGATGCTTGATGGCAATGCACGCTATTCAGTTGTGAATACCACCAGATTAAGTCAAATTAATGAATGGCATCCAGAGCAGACTGGTTTTGTGTCCCGCAGCACAACCATAAAATCCCACAGGATTTAGTAGCTGTTACATAGAGTAGCTAATTGTACCTTACCCCTGTTTGCTGAAATTTCCATTCATGCTGACATGATATTTTTGCGTTCAATGCTAAGCTGTTGAGTGTTCCCTGAGTTTATGTGAGTGAAATGCGTCACTGGTTGTTTTACTATGTTGCGTCACCGTGACGACCCTCTGTAGCTCTGGTAAAAAGCGGTGCTGAAGCCTAGCCCACCCCCAGTTTGTTGTGCCTCTCATATTTTTTCACCAAAATGGTTAGGACAGTCTTTGATGGTTCTGAAAATACAGTCAGAACAGCTGTAAATGTTTTAAACGACCTTTTAAACATCGCTGGTTAATTATCTTTTAATAACAATTAGCGTTAAAGAAAGTGAATTCAGCTTATGCTAATACATGAGAGGCACAGACTGGGGCTAATAGAGCTTAACTATCATAAATTATAGGCCTATCAATATATGTCTCAAATAGAAAAAAAGATAATTGCAGTTATGAACAATGTAAATGGGTTAAATGTTTAGGCTATTTGTTGTACGAAATGCATGACAGCTAGGATTAAGCAGTTGATATGTCTGTTGAGGGGTTAGACAATATTTACTGCTATTAGCAGACGTTTCAGTTGAAGTGAAAACACTACCACCTGTCAACTGAAGTGGTTTAAAGATATGTCATTATTTTGAGAAAAGTTCTCAGTATAATGGATTCCACAGACCTAAGATATGAAATTATAACATAGAACTTGTTGTGAAACTTGTGCAGCACTTGAGTGCAAATTGCTAATTGAGTGGCAATATCAATAACAGATATCCATATATATATATATATATATATATACACTATTCCAAAATAAACAAGATTAACAGTAGGGTTGTTTCTTAATGAGATAGGAAGTCATTAAGTTTAAACTAAAAGATAATTTTTTTTTCATCTTTTGTGCTATCAGCTGTCACTTGCAAACAAGGCCACCGATGGCTCCCCCAGTGGACAAGTTTTAGTGTCACCAACTCCTCCCAGCTATGAGGAAGCCACTGCAGGTACTACAACACCTTATCTTTCACTCATAAAGTCAGTTTGTCATTTCTGACATTTACTATTTTAAATAAATGTGTTCTCTAGGCACCAGTGCTCCTTGCTACAGTGATGGTGACATGCTGACAGAGTTCACCTGGGATGATCGCAACATCAGGAGGGTCTTCATCCGTAAGGTATCAAACGCTTTATGATCACGCCGATGACAATGTTGGCTCTGCTGTGTCACTTGCAGTTCACCTCAGATGGCCATGTTAAACTTTAAAAGCCTGACCAGCACATACAATACATGTACAATTATCCGATCTTTTTCACTCTAACTTGCTTTCTCTAAGGTGTACGCCATCTTGATGATCCAGCTTTTGGTCACTCTCGCTATTGTGTCTCTTTTCACATTCTGGTAAGTGTTAGTCCAATCTTTTTCATTTTTTCTTATGTTTTACGATATTGAACAAGTAATTCTGATCAAATTCTCTGGGTAGTGTACTTACTTAAGATTATGTTGCTTTTAGTGACCCTGTGAAGGACTACATTAAAACCAACCCTGGGTGGTACTGGGCCTCTTAGTAAGTAATATTGGTTTTGTCACTCTCTAGTTAGTAAGACACAGTCACATGTTTGCCCATGTCACTCCTATCTAACTAAATATCTAACAATATTTCTGTTTTTCAACAGCGCTGTGTTCTTTGTCACATATCTGACCCTGTCTTGCTGCTCTGCACCAAGGTAAATGTTTTCAAAATTAAATGTACGACATCAAAAAAAAGAAAAGATAAAAAGTAAATCAACTACATTATTGACCCTCCAATCTTTTACTCACTCCTACAGGAGACAGTTTCCATGGAATCTGATTCTGCTAGGTATCTTTGTAAGTACAAGACAGATATGTGTTAGGTTTTTAATAAATGTTTCCAAGTATAGACTGAATTATGTATTCTTTAGATGAGCAGTGTTTTCAAATCAAACCTAGGTACAGAATGATTGTAAATTAGCAGGATCTAAACCAAATATATGAGTATGAATTATAAAAGTTATTGCTCTCCAGCTATGGCTTGTCTAAAAAGATTCTAACACATGCCTGCATTTCACATGACTATCACAATGTCTCATTACAGACCCTCTCGCTGTCCTACATGACAGGGATGTTGTCCAGGTACACTGTCTTGTGTTACTTTGCATTGTGTCTTGCTGCTTTAGACCCTGGCTACTATGATGGCTTTTGCACTCAGATAATTAGGTGTCAATGTATTTCTTTTACAGTATCTTAGTTTGTGTGTGTGGCCAGTGATGTAGGTCTATATAAAAATGAATTATGCTTTCTGTTTGAAATAGCTTGAAACATTTTCAGTAAGTTTTGCATGTCTCTTGTTTTAATAGCTTCTACAACACAAAGTCAGTGGTGATGTGTCTGGGCATCACAGCAGCAGTCTGTCTCCTAGTCACAATCTTCAGCTTCCAAACTAAGGTGGGAGAAATACATTTTTCCTTTTCTGTACTTTTTATGTTATCTGGCATGCATGATTGAGTGGGGAAATCATTTGTGTGTGTCAGCTTTCACGCCGTTGGATTAACATACTAATATGTTTGATTTTATGTGCTTTCCACCATCCAGTTTGATGTGACATCATACCAAGGTGTGCTCTTTGTGTTCTGCATGGTCATGTTCATCTCTGGACTGGTGTTGACGCTCGTCCTTCCCTTTCAATATGTAAGTACAATTATCCAAATCAAGCAATTACACCAGTTTTGTGTCATGCAAGACTGGAACGTGGAGGATTTCCAGACAACTAGGATATAGTTAAATGGAATACGAATGAAAATTGAAAGTCTGACAAATATTAGACTTTAGACTGATGCAGATCCAACCCTAAATTTAGATCATATTTAGTATTTGTACCATCATATGCATTTAGAAATAACATGGTGGACCTTATAATAGATAATACTGGAATCACATCCAAAAAAGTATTTTTTGCCATTTAGGTACCCTGGTTGGATGCCACCTATGCTGCCTTGGGAGCCATACTGTTTACCATGGTAAGAGTACAGACACTGTCAAGACATTATTGATAAAAATTATTGTGCATTGTACTGTTGACTATCACAATAAAAAAATATGTCTTACTTGACGTCATTTCCGTTGCAGTTTTTGGCATTTGACACGCAGCTCCTCATGGGAAACAAACGCTACGCCATGAGTCCAGAGGAGTACGTCTTCGCCACTCTCAACCTCTACCTAGATATCATCTATATCTTCTCCTTCTTCCTCCAAATCTTTGGAACAAAACGAGAATAAACTATCGCTCCACCTTTCTTTTCTAAAGACAAGGGATACACCAGTATGGGAATTAAGGCACACATACGATAAGAGTATTTTAAAATTTTAGTGATTGTGATGACAATGCTTCCAATTGTAACAGCTTTGTTTTTTTGCCTGATACTGATGAATACTTATACCATTGTACAGCTGTACATTTACATCGACATACATCAGTATTCACATCCAAAATTTCACTAACTTTTTCCCGCTCTCTAGCATGTTGTCAATCCACACCACGTTATGTGGCGATCTTCCTCCATTTAATGTAGAACATACTGTGACTGTTCATCTGAAGCTGTATGGGTATTTTCATGTCCATGCCTATCTAGATATCACATATCTACTACAAACAATAGATGTCAGTGCTCTTTAAGATGTATTTGATTATATAATACATTATGCATGACTGAAAAGAGCCCAAACAGTGCTAAGTATAGTCATCCTATCACTGGACTATTTTTGTGGGTGTTGATTTAGTGACTGAAAGCATACATACACATACAAAAAAAAAAAAAAACTTAAAAGACTTACAGACTTTTCGTGTGTTTTCACTCATATACACTGTTGTCTGAATACTGTGAATTACAAGAAACAGAATTATTATAGTTTTTGGTCTTAATATGATATAAACTTATTCAATCCTTTTGAAGAGGTGACATGACAGTTGAATATAAATATAACAGTGCCATAAATGCATGGATTTACTCTTAACTTTTGACAAGGCCTACTATATTTGTGAAAGATATGTCACATTACATTTGAAGTTTATTTTTTTTACGACAGAATGATATATTTTAGAAAGTGTGTGACATAAAGTGATGAGTTTGAAGCTTGAAATGAATTTTTAGGTCTTCTAAAGTGTACTTGGATTACCCTTATTTGACAATATTGATGCAGTATAGGCTATTGTTTTAAGAGCACCCTGCATTTCACTGTAGCATTGGTGTTTCTGTATTAATTTATTAAATTGTGAATGTGTATTAATACACTCGTTGGTTCTCTCTGATTAAATAAATAATGTGCTTCAACATATGTTGTTCAATGTCAGTCACTTGTGAGAAATTATAGAATTATGCCACTTTTCACAGGACAAAATGAGCTTAGTTTCAGTAGTATTTTTTCAGCCTAAACATCTCCATGTAGTAGAGTAAAATTTTGTCTACTTTGATTAAATCACATGCTAACACACTTGCATTCTTAAAGTATTTTGCAGTTCCTTGATGTGTTATTTACAAGTTTGTCAGATAAAATTATTTTCTGGAAATTTCAGCTGTATATAAAGTTGCTTGTAGATTAGACTAGGTAATGGTATTTAAGGACCATAGGTAAAAGCTATGTTGTTACTTATTACACCATGCCATGTAGGGTGTACAACATAATCTGTTTTGTCTTTTACAACTTTCATTGGACAAATTAAAGCCTACTTGTAAATAACATGTGGCCTATAGGTATGTGCAGCATATAGCTACTTTTATCTTTAAACTGAATAAACCTGGTTTGCATTTTTGCCATCTGTCAATTAAATTAGTTAAGTGTTTGGCATAAAGATCGGGTCCTTAAAATTATTTCATTCAAAATATAATTCCTCCACATGCAATTGTGTATGTGCGCGAGTGCGACAGAGACATTTGAAAGTAACAGACTTAGTAGACTAACGCTAAATAATTGCGTGTGGTGTCACGATGGAAATAAAAATTGTATTCAGAAGGCGGGTGTGACGTAATGTTAAATGGTCTACTCCAACCAGTAAATGTCGGGCACACTCGGAATTACAGCCTCCAGCCATCCAATCACAACGTGCGATGTTCGAACGTCATGTTCAGCCATGTTGTGGTTTTGAATGAGGAAGAAGCGGGAGATAACATTCTTCAACGAGTTTATATGTAATTTAAAGTCACGTTTAGGATATATAAATGAGTTAGGGTGTGACTCAAAATGATAACCGTTTTTGCGAACGCGTTGGTTGCGTTTTATTGCATTCCTGTTGGAATTTAAACATACTTCCATAAATTAGCCGTGTGGCTAACAACGTTAGCTAGCATAGTGTGCTAGCTAGGCAACTAGCTAATTCTTAGTTAACCAGCTAGCCCGTTAGCCCGTTTCATGGGAAAGTAAAATGAAAATTGTGAGTAGTGTTAGCCTTTGAAATAGCCTCAGCTAACCTGCCTCAGTCGAATGAAGCGCATTAGCCTCATTTGGTTTGACTATATTGACAGGTAGGCAGAAAACAGCTATAACGATTTATCTTTAAACCGACGGCGTTATTTCTGAAACTTTTGAACCATGTTGAATAAAATTTACGGATGGATAGAAACAAGCTTTGCCAATCTTCGCAATGGTGTACCAGCTGCGGAGCACTCTGATGCACATCGGGCACCGGGAGATGGTCAGATGAGGAGGAAAAGACCAATTGAATGGTATGAGCTGTAAAAGCGTTATTCCCTTGTGTGCTCAAAAGACGGTGTGTTTAAAAAGAGACGGAATTAAACGGACCCCAGCTTGTTCTGAAGTTAACGTTTTTTAATGAGTCAGTGTAAATAACGTTATCGTTTCACCATTCATTGTCTCGCTGGTCATTTAACGTTTCAACCGTTTGTTATGATGTGAAGAAAACCGTTTATTTTCAGTTTGTTGAATTGCATGCAATGTGTTAATAACTGTATGGCACAAATCTGTTTTTTTTCTTAAGTTTGCAAGATGGACATAACAACGATGGCTTAATGATAAAGAAATCTCGAATGGGTAATTAAACATTTACTTTGATACATACTATGGTGGGTAAATTTGAGGATGTAGTTGGAGAAGTAGCAACCCTACTTACAGTCTATCTATGTCTGTCTTTTTTAAAAATTTCTCAAGGAGATCTCATTGACACAGTCAAGATTGCAGCTGAAGGGGTTAAGACTCATAGCTCCAGTGTGGCTACATGGATGAGGAACAATGTGAGCCCTACCTTGAGAAATATACTCCCTGCCTCCCCCGGCCCTCCACCTGGAGAGCCACAGCCCTCAACATCCGCAGACGTCTGGGCAGGGAGCCCGGTAAGAAATGAATTTTTGAGGCCTGGCTGTAGATATGTCAAAACAATTTTTGCCTTTATTTAAACATGTCATGTATGTGTTTGGTTTAAGATTGTTGAAAGGAACTCTCTTGATGAGACATTCATTGCTCCCTCAACAACTTTGGAGTGGAAAACATCCAAATTCGGTAAGATTATGACTTAAAGTATTGTATACATGTTTGCATCACAATTGCTAGTGTTTATTGAGGCTTTTCAGCTTTTGGAGAGAAGTTAATTATTGTACTGTTTCTTATTTCCTCCCAACTCTAGAATGTGTGCGTAATGACAAGTCTATTGTGGGATCAAAAGTCTGTAGGCGACAAGTGTGCATGAGTCCTATACATCGAGAAGTGCCAAAAACAAATGGACACTCTGTGAACTTGACGCCCTCCGTTACCCCTGAATTGCACCCCTCTCCACGGTTAGGCAGACCCCTAAATCTCCGACCACATGGAACACCAAGGTATTCCTTACATACTGATTTTTGACTGTAGAACAAAATGTTCCTCATCTGAAGATTTACTTTTTGTTACAGGATGTATCATTATACTGTTGTCAGTTACAATTGTCAGTTGATGTTTTGATTACCACACTGTCATTTTGTGTCTGCAGTTTATTCAGTGGAGCGTCAAGCAGCTCCTGCACCAGCATGTACGAGAAGACCTTTCCCATCAAAGTGGTGCAGAGCCCAACACACAGCACCTCATCTGTCCGCATACACAGAGCCAGGCCCCGCTGTACAGCACAGGAGGTCAGACATCAGGAAAAAAATTCACCATGTGATACCTCTGTTGTTGCATTTCTTTGTTGACTTCATGGTTCTCCACTGTGTTTGTCCAGTCTGTTTGTCAAGAGGAGAAGGAGGTGTATAGGCAGCTTCTGACCATGGTCTCTGGTGGTCAGTCAACTTTTCTTCACAACGGCAGCTCACACGCCATCGTGAGGTCACACAGAGATTTGTACGTATCCATACAAATGCAGTAGACTTCAACAATGTAGTATTCGTACAATTAATGAAATATGTAAAGGGGTACAGAGTATGGCGGCACAGAAGACTATAGTTGGAATTTAGTCACAGGCCAGTGGGGGGCATCAATACATCAATACATCAATTGCTCACTCTGCGTAGCCTGGAATGAAAGGTTGAACAAGTGTTTACTTGCTTAGCTTTGCAGTAAACAGTTACCTCAAAAGTGCTGGTAATTTCTTTAGTGAAGTTTAACAATAGGAAAACAATATTAATATCAGTATATGTACAAAGGTCAAACTAGTCATGGAGCATATTCCAGCTTGTCTTCACTGTTGTGCCTTGGTTGAGGGATATGTAAGACTACTTGGTATCCATCTGTAATGGAATTACATATTCTCCCTACATTTATTTGGGTAGAGGAACTATTTACGCGTTTCATTTTAACACACTCATATATCCTTTATCACTTACTGGACTGTATCTAGATAGGCTTTGCTTTCTCAACTGCTTACCCCTGTCACTTTCTCATCAGCACCAGCTTCCTGACCACCAGCCGCAGACTGCTACAGTTCACTTCCTCTGCTGGTTCAGCAGCAGGAGGAACTTCAGAGGGTGCCAGCAGCCCCCCGAGCCCCAGGGGGATGTCTAGCCAGAGCTCCAGCAATCTCCCCAGCCCAGTGGGGGCCTCCAACAGGCCAGGGATCCAGAGTTGGTCTCTGGACATGGACCTCAGCTCCAGCAGAGCAGCTATTCTCACATCAGCTCCCTCCCCATCTGTTTTGCAGGACAACTCCTCTCAGGACACGCAATCATCAGGTAAAATTCTCTCCCACACATTTAAAGGTGGAGTGAGCGATTCTGGTGAAATCCTACACCACGACAAATACCATGATATAGAGCAAACAACAACACAGCAAGTAATGTAGCTGAGTTGTGGGTCAGCAAACTGTGGCTACAGTTGCTGCTGCAAAACTAACCTGCAGAGAGGACGAGACGGCCATAGCCAGCACACCAGCTCCAAACAGCGATACTCACAGCTCTCATGCTACTATAGCTAACATCATGCCATATCTTGGTGAACTAGAAAGTAAACTGAATGTCTGTGGGCAAATAATTAGAGATTACCTGAGGCACGAATTATGGCTGGAATGGCTCTAATAGTGTTGTGTGGCGGGGTGATAGCCACTTTGTTTGTTTCCCATTTACAGAGCCAGGGACGTGTACAAACACCAGTTGTTGTGGTTTTTCTTTTTGTTTTTTTCTCAGCACATACACAGAACGGACAAGAAGCCGATCGTGAGGGGATATTTGCTATGTTTGTATTGGATTACAATTGTTTATCCCACCTTCATGGAAATATAGGCATTATGAAAAGGGGGATACATAGGTGAATTGAATGTTTGCGTGCTCCTGTATTTCTTCTTGGGTTGTAATCTCCTTGTCTTTTCTTGCAGCTCATGATGGTGACTCTGTAATTATTGTAAATGAACAAAAGGGTAAAAAGCAAGACAGCTCAAGGTAAGTACTAGTTTTAACTAATTGTAGCTATTTTGTTCTTTACATTGTTTTAAAATCATGAACTACATTTCTGTAGTTAATATTGATGTACTTTGAGTCAACTCAGTTGTTTAATTTGTATATACATATTTCTGCCATTACAGTGTGCCATGTTTCCAAGCTGAGCTATGGATCAAAGAACTGTAAGTACACTCCCAATGCATTCAATTACAAATGATTTAATATTCAGAGATTTTAAGTGGGAATAGTGGAAAACATGTATTTTTTGTCACTGTAGGACTAGTATGTATGACTCTCGGGCAAGAGAAAGACGGAGACAGATCGAAGAGCAGGAAGCCTTGGCTGCCCAGCTGCTGCAACAGGTGGGTGTGCACCACCAAAGCATCTGTTGTTCCTCGACCTCTTGTTATCCCACTAACCATGTTGTCATTGGTTCCCAGCGCCTGTCTGAAGAGGGTCAACGCAGCCCAGATGTGGAGGTCCATGTACGAGTTCCTTTGGAGAAGGAAGTTCCTTTGACTCTTGTGACAGAAGAACCAAAACATTTGGAAGAGATACCAGAATTCCCTGAACTCACAGAGGTGTGGTCATTGTATCTTCATGTGCATCACAGCATTTACCATATGTAGAATATATTAAGACATAATCTTCTAAGTATAACAGACAGATTAACTTATCAGAGGTAACTTGAGTGCATTAGTTTTGGACAAATTTGTGCAAGTTAATGATTGGCAGCAATCCTACCTCTAGCGCAATATTATGTTTTGATGGAGATTGTGCACGAAGGCTAAGCACAGACGGGTCCGTTGTTAATGTGTTTGTGAGAGAGCAAGGGAGCGAGCAAGTGGAGACGCTGAGCAGCGCACAGCTCTACAATCAAAAACAATTTTACCCATTTTTAAATGGTAAAAAAAATAATGATTTGAAAGTCAATATGTGACGGTCAGTGTTGATATTGTGGTGGGTTGCCACAAATAAATCGAAACCCTATTTTGTATAGAATCTAAAAATGAGTGAATATTACATGAACAAAAATGTAGAAAGTAATAAAATTTAATATTGATAATTATTTCAGCCAATTAATTTTAATTCAGTATTTAACCAGTGGTCAATGTCAATCCATTGCATTAGTCCAGAGTTGTAAACCTTGACTGAGAGATCTTAACTTGTTTTGAAAATACTGTGTACTTAAGAGGAGTGCCATCACGTCCATATAGCTTCAAGTTTCATTTTGTGCATGCACATATGAGCTAGGGCCAGGCGGTATATCAGTTTAATGAGGTATACCGAAATAATTTCAAAAGACATATAAAATTAGACAATACCGTTTATACCGATATAGTTTGATGTTGACATAATTTATGTGTGTCCTGACAGCGTTTGCTCGTCTCTCTTCCTCACCGCGCAGCCCTGCCTCTCCCTCTGCATCTACACGCAGCCGTCTACTCACAAACTCTCTAACAACATAGACGGAGACACAATGCCGATCAACACTGCTGATGACGTGGCTTGTAAAAACAAAAACAATGGTTCAGTCAGTGTTTCCCACACATACACTTTATTTAGGCAGGCCGCCCAGGTTAGGCGACATATTGTAGCTTTTTTCAGAGAAACACTGAGTGTTTGGATATTATATAGAGAGAGATACAGAGTGGTGGATATTTTACAAGCACGGACCAAGTAAAGAGACAGTGAACACACCAGTCAGATGTCATTCGTTAGCTACCACGTTTGTTTTGTTTTGTTAGGCTATGTCGTCAATATGCACTCAACACGTGGGCAGCTGCTGCTGTGAACGGAATGGCGGGTGTAAAAGTTAGTTGTTTTTTTTCCCCGGCAACTTATATGCTTATGTGTTTGCAACGGAGGTACGTTAGTTAGGTCTGTGAGTGTGAAGAGAACTAAAGAGGCCCCAAGCCCTCTTATACTGATATATATTTTATACTGGTATTCAACCTAACAGTACCAGGATATGACTTTTTGGTTCATATCGCCCAGCGTTAATATGAACGCATCTTCACATCCGACACGGTTGTCTTTTCCGTTGCTTGTTGGCATTTATAAAACAGACACAACACTGATCGACCAAGAGAGGCACTGCCCGGCTAGGTTAGCAAGACAGACAGACAGATGGCTGACTACTAGAGAGAGATGCACTACAAGCTAGCACATAAACTTAACATTACTGTTATTTGCTAACATCAGACTTGGGAGAGCAGAGAACAGAAGTTTACCTGATTGCTGTTCCCGCAATTCATTCTCGTGGTGTGTGTTTTTTTTTTCTTCATCTTTTTGTGACCAAAAGGATAGTTCCACTTCATCCTATCATGTAAGTTGTAAACAATGACACCCGCTTTGACATGAGGGGGAGGCAGGAACCCACACAACTTGTGTATTGAGCTTAGAGGGCCATACACAAACTCCCACACCAAATCTCCCTCCCTCCTGGTGTTTCACATTATATACAATAGTGATTTTTCTTAAAAAGGAAAAGGGGGATATTTGCATGTTGGCCCACCAAAAATTGTTTCAAAAACCGACTAAATTGTCACAGTCTGGAAACCTGAGTATTGGCTATTTTTTGTTTCTGCAGGCTGTACGATTTTTGAAATAATTTACGTTGTCTCTTTCCATTAAGGAAATGGAAGCCGAGGTGAACAGGGTGCTGAGAGGAGGTAGTTCTCACGAAGTATTAAGTGAAGGTTTTGGTCTCAGTCTTACGCGCAAAGACCTGCAGACCCTCAGCAACCTCAACTGGCTCAATGATGAGGTGAGTACACGTTATCTGTGTGTGAATTATAAGCAGGCATTAATTTTACACCAGGTGGGCACACTCTTCTCACCATGCTTGTTTTGTGCATGTAATAATTGTTGCAGAACTGAGCCATAGTGCTTGCCCAATTAATTGAAACTCTTCCTCCTTAATCTCTCAGGTGATCAACTTTTACATGAACCTGCTGGTCGAGCGTAGCAAGGACCCCCGCTGGCCATCAGTCAATACGTTCAACACTTTTTTCTATCCCAAGCTGCGCAGCAGTGGCTATTCCGCTGTCCGCCGCTGGACCAAGAAGATGGACATCTTTTCTAAAGACATCCTGTTGGTTCCTGTCCACTTGGGGGTGCACTGGTGCCTCTCTGTAAGTCTTGATGGAAATAATTGTGAACTTGTACAATAACAATAAATTAAAAACTGCAATATAAACCCCAAGATTGTTACTTACAACTCTTTCTCAGGTGGTGGATTTCCGCAAAAAGGCTATCCTGTACTTTGATTCTATGGGAGGAAACAATGATGAAGCATGCAGAATATTGTTGTAAGTTTCAGTATCTGATACAGTTGTCTGTTGAATGCAACTCCTGCAAACTGATTTTTATGAGCCATCAAAGTATCTAGAAAATAATTTTTATTTCCCCAGTGAATACCTGCAACAGGAAAGCAAGGACAAGAAGGGCAAAGAACTGGATACCTCAGGCTGGACTCTGCGCAGCAAAAAGCGCCATGTAAGTCCTACGTACACCAGCTTTAAATAGTCTACTTTTAATTGTTGTGCAATGTCGTTCTGTGTCATCAAACTTAGGAAACTTTAGGAATTTTGGATAGGTTTCCATTATTAGCAGAATATTCTAGGCTCTAGTTCTTGGAGTTAGCAGTACCTCCATCTTTGGCCAACTTGTCCAGGTTCATGCTGCAGCATTGTAACCAAATGATAATTTGTTTACATTTCAGTCATTTGCACCCATTTATAGTTAAACAGCATGTACAGGATTAGGATAATCATTGTACATTTTTGTGTTTTATGTAAAGTCCTTATGAAGTTCTTGGTAATGAAGTTCTTGGTAACTTGTTCTGTTTGGTGAGGCAAGTCATGCGAGCAGGCATACATCTAAAATATCAAATGAAGACACTGTGCAAACTCTATTAATAATGCTATTTCATTGTCAAGAACAAAATGTCTGCTGGATGCTTGTCTAGGAATAATTTCACCCCAAAATGTGATTTGCAGCATTAGCCTACTTAGTTTAGTTTATTGTCCCATTTGGAATTTTGGTTAGTCATTCTTATTAATCATATATCCTTTCAATTGTGTACAGATATCACTCTTTTTGCACTGTGGAATGCCCAATAACATATTTTTTCCCCTTTTACTCAGGAAATCCCACAGCAGATGAATGGCAGTGACTGTGGAATGTTCACATGCAAATATGCAGATTACATTACCAAAGACAAGCCAATCACTTTCACACAGGTAATCACAAACCGCAAACAACGAATTATGTTAATCGTCATGCTAATGGTTTACAAATGGCCTATGTGACCTTTTTTTTTTATTCACAGAAGCACATGCCCTACTTCAGAAGAAGGATGGTTTGGGAGATTTTGAATCATAAACTGTTGTGATGTCAGTATAGTCGGCTCACAATGTTAGAAACACAACTAACGTAACAACGGCAGAGCTGCGTTCAGCAGCAGGATCCACTTATAGCAGTCCTGCTCTGGATAGACTAGTACACCAGCTTGTCAGATCAGGAACCAGCCCTGCTACTCTGCATCCTTTAAGCCCTCAGCTGATCTTTGCTGATGGGATGTTGCTGGAGCACCAAGCACTGCCTACCAGTCCTCTACTTCACTTTGTTTTGTTTTTTTGGGTGCACCCATGGAGCATCAGTGTAGCAGCTGAAACGCTGCTTGTTTTTTAATGCCCAGCCAGAACTGTTTTTGAAATCACACGTGTACTGACTTACAAGCCATACTCTGAGCAATGTTCAGTTTAATGCAGAGATATGTTTACATGTTTTTGTCCTACAGGGAGATGAGCACATTATGCTGCATACTTTTTATAACACAAATTCTACATTTTGGCATCATTGTCAATGTTTGATATTCTTGGTATGTGCAAAGAACAATTTACTTTACCATGAAAATATGAATGCCCACAGAACTGGAATTTGAATGGCATCTAGTCTTAACAATCTGTCTCTTTGTGTTTGGGCGTGACACATGTTCTGTTTTCCTAAATATGAACATTTAACCTAAAACAGGATTCTTTTTGTAGTTTGATGAATTAAAATGCACAAAAGGCTGCAAATGTGACATTGCCTCAGAGTATAATTTATAAGGAAGGAAAATAGAAAGCTGCAGTCTAAAACAGCAGGTTAAGTGTTTTGCCATTTTCCCATTACTCTTGATATATTGTAAATTAAGGTTCGAAGTCTATTTTATGTATTGCAGTCTGTTTTCATTCAACAGCAACTTTTGGGCATATTCAGAATATTTTGAACTTTGTACATACTTAAAACACATACAGCCTCTTGAACAGTGTAATATACTTTTTCTTTACGTATTATCTATTTTTATCTAGATTTAAGTCTGTTTTAGAAAATAAAATTCTCATGTATTGTGACTGTTCTTTGTATTACCTCAAAATCTGCTGGGTTTGAGATAAAAACTGCCACATTTGATAAACATGAGAACCGTGACGTGTCTTGGCTTGTTTTTTAAAACGGCTTCATCTCTGAGATACAACATGCAAATTTGAGTAATAAAAACCACACAAGCCACGGTGAAAAAAACATTTATTTAAAAAAAAAAGACAAGTTCAAAATCAAACAAAGTTTAATAGCTGTAGGAGTTTTTTTCTATCAAGAAGACAAAGACCTGCATCATGGCACAGACAAACATTTCATGAGAAGTTGCTTGACACACAAAACAAGACTACACGGGTATTGTCGAACATGAGTTACAAACTGACCCCCGTCTGTGACTTGATATATTGAATGTCCTTCAGCTAAATATATCTAAATACTTAGCAATCCAAAATTAGCAGCAATAGATCTTTAGACTCAATAAGTGACCATTCAGGTTTTCTTCAATGTTTTGGATTTTTTTAAAAATAATGGAACACAAAATAGTAATTCAAAGTTGTAAATATTCCTTTGCTTCATAGATCTATGTTCAGAGTAGTTTGCTATAACAATCTTTCTATATTAGCAGTGCATGAACAAAAAAAACAACAATTCCAGTCAGAGGTCAAGTCCACCAAATCTGAGTAGCACTTCACTATCCCTTCCAGTGAAATCTAAGGCATTTCTGTGAAGTTTAATCTCCTGGAAATGAACGGTGTCATGGTTTAAAAGAAGAAAACAGCGTCAATTAATCAGCAAGTTAGCAAACAGGACTAGACAAGACACATTATATGCAACATAAAAACTGCAACTGGATGGAATGGTGAATTAACATCTAACACAACCTTATGGTGGCCACAGAAAATAAAAGTAGGGTAGACGAGTGGGCAACCCGCCTCCACATGATGCACACCTGTCTTTTTTTTTTTTTGTTAGATTTTCTACATTTGCTACAGTCATTAACAACCACATTTTAGTGTGACATAGTTCCCTTTTTTAATGCATCAATATTGCTAACAATGAACCAAAGATGAACGCGTCTGTCAGAAAACAGACAAATGTATGCAGTAACATAAAAGCCATATGAGCCAGAATGTGAAGTCATATTGTGAGGTGTCTCTTTGATATCTGTAGTATTGCATTTATAAGGATAATAAATTAATTGCATAGATCATCAGACCATGGGCATGTTTTCCGAGCACTGGACGGAAGAGTTAAAGGATGTGGACACAGTACCAGCTGTGAAGAGCCATGAGACCTACTGTAGTTGGTTATTGCCTGTGAGTCTTGTACACGAACTGAATCTACATTGCTCTGGCAGGATGAGGTATGTCAAGGTTTTGAACATATATTTCTACAACATTGTTCCCAACTGCTTGGGGCACAGGTCTGTCACAATGCATCTGAACCTAGCAGACATAATTAATCCATGATCAGGAGTCACGTGCCAACATTCGTGGCACAGACGGAACTGAAATGTCTTGAAAACACAATAAAGCCTGTTTGACATCAACACTGAAACCAGAACGAGAGAGAAGTACGCAAACAAACATACAAATCACAATTTCAAACAAAGAAAAACACTTGGAAACATCTGTTTCTCACTATTTGAAGCACACTACACACTATCAAAAATAAAAATCAAAGCTTCTTTGAAATATAGGATCAATCTTAAAAGTATTAAAACTGAACTTGAAAAAAAGAAAACCTTTAAATAAGAAAGGTAAAAATAATAAAAGTAAAAAACAACAACATGAGGGTGAAAAATGGAAATGCAAAGGTAGACAGCCAGTATTAAAGCATTGATATACTGGCCAAAATAATCCACATTGATAGTGTTTTCTGAAGATATAACAGGCCAGAGCCACGCTTCTACCAGTTTGTGTAATAAGAACTTCATATTCTAATAACAGCAACTAATTCTTGCTCCAGAAAATTCATTTTTGGGGACTTTGTGAAGATTCAGATTCCCCTTTTATAGAAGGGACATGAGGAAAAAACCGAAAACACAGCAATACATAAATTGCTATGTACAATTTGGTATCATGTTGTTATTGAAATAACTGAAGCATTACTACACTGATAAAAGGAAATCAAAAGACGGCCTAAATAAATTTAAATCTCTTATTTACAGGCAGCTCCGTGTGACATGTGATCCCTATTACGCGACTTTGGACTTCATCAAGTGGAGCAAAGTGAACCAATATTTAGAACTTTCTGATAATAATCTCTGGAATGATTTAAATCTATTAGCTCTTCTTTTCTATGAAATCAGTCATTAATGACCAGCATCTCTAAATTTTCGTCTTTTTTGCAATCTGATTGTCTGAAGCTTTGTTAAGATTGTTGGAACTATAAATTATTTGAGTCAAGTGCCATAAACATGCGATACCACTTCAGGTCTTGGACAGCTTGTATACGTGATAAACTCGCTACCACTTTGAGAGAGGCTAATCTATATCAGCACCATATCTGTCTAAAATATGAGTCACCAGCTTATTGAGTGACTTCAGTTTGGTTTGTTTTGAGCCATCTGTATTCAACTAGTTGCACCATATCAATCAAACTGGGACACATGAAGCTATAAACACTCCAAAACAAAGAAGTATGTACAAAAAAAGGCAGGTTTCAAAGCCTGAAAGTATCAGACATAAAAGTGAAGTGAAATCAGCATATTGTACAAAAAGTCAAAACAAAACATGACTCAAAATAAAACATGGTGTTGAAATATTCTTTTCCTGGTTTCATTCTAGCTCCATGGAGTAGTGTTAGAAAAGAAAATGAAAGACGTTCAAAAAACCTTTCATACGTGTGTAGTGTGTGTATGACTTTTGTTTTCTTGACGGTTATCAAAATAGATGCTCCTTGTTCTGTTCTTCCATATCCCATTGCCTGCCGTCCTCTGGCCTCGCTTGGAGTAAAAGAGTTTGTTTTAAAATATGAGTCTGTAGAAAATATCTTTTTTTTTTGTCCTGTCTGTGTAACAGTCCGTGGTTCTCCCGAGTGTCTGGTGCCTTACGTGCAGAGTCGCCGTGCCGAGTTTCAGCGCACTGGACCCCTTTAGAGTCACTCTGGCTCCAGAGGAATATCTGACACAAAGTGACAAGACCTGTCGGTTAAAAACAAGCGCTACTGCTGCATCGTCTCCGTTTGCAGTCATAACTGAACATAAAAGGTTTTTAAATGGAAGTGTATGCACGTACAAAGACGCTAGCACAATCACAGACGAACGCTAGCTACGATCAAAACCCACCTCTTCACTTGTTATGCTGGTAGGAGTAGGTTGTGTGTTCTGTGGGTGTCTCTATGGCAACCGATTGTTGGACGGCACTTTCCTGCGAGGGAGGCCGCAAACATTAAATCCATGAGTGATTGTTTCACATAACATTTTAGTGGTAAACTGCTCAAGTGAGAATAAACATTACCTCAACTGATATGTTGGTAGCAGGCACTTGGGTGTACTGGGGGATGTAAGTCCCCTGCATAGATGTGTTTGCAGGCATATACTGCAGGAGAATAGAGATGATAAGCTCATTAGATATGACGGCTATTATTGGCAATAACACTGTCAAGATTCATGTGTGAAATTACACCTGTCGTTATCACCCTAAATTACAAAAAGGGGAGCTGCAACTCCAGAACATCCCGTCCAATTATTAGCTTGTTCATTTACCCAATTTGCCCACATAAAAGTACAGTTATCTCCATGCTAAGGATCTGGTATTCCCCTGAAAGTAGCAGATGAACAGCCAGGAAAGGTTGAGATCACTACTGACATCACCTTATGTGCCTTTTGCGTGTTTAAATTTAAGTGTTTTTCAGCTGCCATTTTGAGCCATTAATGTGTCAAATAGCCTATAGTGCAGCTCTAAGTGTTAAATATCAACAGTGCCTAAATACTGAATACTCTACTGACTGTCCCACTGTTGCCCATGGAGAGGTGGCTGAGCTGCTGTGTCAGGGGCCCAATCATCGAGGTCGGCTGGATGGACATGGTGTGGTCCATCCCTGGCGTCAGGACTGCTCCCTATCAAAAACAAACACTAGCGTTAGCTCTTGCCATCAAGACAACTGTCAGACTGACCGAATGTGAAAGCAGCTCAATCTTAAATGGCTTCTCCTGCAACAAAAACAGAGAGGAAGGCCAACAGCTTCAAGTTACTCACTGTGGGCGGCATGATGTATGACTGATGATGTAACCAAGATGGGTTGTGTACCTGCAGGAACAAGAAGACATGTGTAGCAGGAGAAGGTTACATAATGTAAAAAGGTTCAGGCATAATAGAAAATAGACAAGCAAAGACCCATAAATTCAGCTATATTGTTTTTCAAAATAATGGGATTAATAGGTATGTGAGTGCAGGCCCTGGCTTGTTTAAACACAAGTCTTCCACAGATTAGCATCTTAACTAACACCCCAGAAGCTATGAGGGTCTGAAACTACCTGGTAGGTGGACACAGGTGAATGCATGTATGGAGAGAGGGAGGTCGGCCCAATCATCCGGTTGGGGGCAATGTTGTAGGGAGAGGAGTAGAACCTACAGAAAGAGACACAAAGTTGTTAGTCACCACAACGTGATCGCACTCCCTCTGGGTACACAAGGGATTTGTCAGACTAGTAGTACTGACCCGTTCTGTAAGGCTGTGGTGGGGTCATAAGTAAGGGTCATTCCTCCCTGGAAAAAACAAACAAAATAAAGGTCTGTGTTATTTTGGTGCTGCTCAATGAACTATATCACAAGAAATGTTGCATAATAAAAGCATTTTCACAGAAGTCAAGAGGAAAAATCATAAACTCACAGTCTCTCCATCCCTCATCCAGGGTCGGCCGTTCTGCAGATATTTTCCTTGGCTCTGACGCTTTTTCTGGCCTCCATCAGCAAATTTACACAACAAGGGCTCTGACGGCACTGGACCAGTCAGAAAATATTATGTTATATAACAAAATATAGTCTGTATCACGAATGTAAAACTCTTTGGATGAATTTATGTCTTCAACAGCTATTTCTTGTTTAAAGATGCTACAATCAAAGAAAAAAAATAAAATTTCACCTGGAACTCCAGGAGGAGTCTTGATATATTTTCCATTGAAATGTTGAATGATGGCTTCACATTTCTCTGTTGACTCCATCCTATTGGAAAAGGTCATTAAATACAATAACTGTGTAAGAGTAGCAGGTTACAAGTTATTAATATTTCCAGTTGGAGAATTTCTACCTGTACTGGCCACTAGAGGGCTCACTCGCCGTGATTAATACAGTTTGTAACTTCAGTACCGACTTCAGTACTAATTTCAGAATTTGCCTTTGTGTAACTGGATATTTTCTTCAAAAGCACACGAGGCTACACCATCACTTATCAACTTTAACCAGCTATCCTAATGCATTTAACTAAATAACCAAAGCATATACCTGGCAAAGCCTACTCCTCGGCTGGTTCCATTGGCGTCACGGAGGATGCGAGTGGAAATGGCCTGGCTGAAAGGCTTCAGCATGCTCTCCAGCTCCTGCTCGTCCATGGACATTGGCAGGTTGGAGATGTATAAGTTGGTGGGGTCCTGCTCCTGTTGCTAAATTGAGAGAAGCACAGAGAGGGTTAACGCATGAGGATGTGGACCAGACAGAACACGTTGTTTCCTTGTGGAAAAATGACTGTATCATGATGTCAGGAGCCCAAAAATCAAGAGCCATACAATAGCTGCCCGGAATAGTATGAGGGAATTTATATAACCTTTTGACAGGAAGTTTGCAGGAGATTAGACAGTTAAAAAACAGTCTGAGAGAAAGGGTAGAGGGTTTGAAGTTGAAGGTAAATTTCATTTTGGCCTTGTATGAGAATGTGAGCTGCACAGAAGAGGTCTAAGGAGAAAACAGATATTCAGAGATGGCGGAGATAGTATTCTGGCTGGACTACAGCTGAACTTCTCTCTCATTTTTACTGTCTCTATTCCTGTCTCTTTATTCATCCAACTCACTCCTGTTCTTTTTCTTCACACTCCTCTCTCTTAATCCATCACCCGTATGTTATTACCAAAAGGGTGGAAGACAGGCCCATTGTGTGAGACTCGCCTCTTAGGAGGATGAAAGCGCAGGATCCAGGTAATGTGATATCAAAGTATAATTACATTTCAAATGGCTCTCCATACATGGACGATCTAAAATGATTATGTGCTCTCGCTCGGCGGAGAATCACAGGAGAGACCTTTTGGACAAAGACCTTTAAAAATGATCTGGGGAACATCTATAGCATTACGCTATCATCTCCCCACGAGGCAAACATTATCATCCTGTTTCCTAGGTCATGCTAATAATATGTCGCTTGCATTCAAGCGGTTATATTCATGTGGTAATCCCGACCTTGAGTGCAGGCACAGAGGCCGACTCTGTTGGCTTGCATAAATCAGACAAATTATGCAGCTTCTCCAAGTCTGAATTATTAGAAAACAACCTGAAAGACACTTTTGAAGTGCAACAGTTTAATTTTATGCTTTTGAACTCTTTTTCTTGTTTCTTTGCTTCCTGCTCAAACACATTTAATTCGACCAACGGCATTGATAACCAATCTGTATCACCCTCTAGCCATTATGCATATTCATTATTTCATAGTGCAGATGTGATTAAAAACCTGTAAATGTAGTGTGAATGAATTTCCATCCTATGAATAATGCATGTTGAAGCGTTGCGACCTGCGGTGAAGGTGATTTCTCCTTCACCCCCCCTCCTCCTCCTCTTCCTCCTTCGCAGCAGCAGCGTGAACTAGCAGTGAAGCTCGAGCCCGTGAGAGCGAGCAGAGACAACCTGCTGCGGGTTTCAACCGCGAATGAGTCAGACGGAGTGAAGGGGTGAGTGGAAGCAAGTTATTTTGTGAGCAAGGAGCCGTATGAATGTCAGTGATCCAGCTTAACAAGAGATCAGCTTTCCCAGGGTGTTGGTGTTGTGCGTGCTTGTGAGTGTGTGTCATAATCCGGTTCAGGCAAGGCTGCATGTTTGATTGTCAAGTGTGCTCTTCGCACGTGCGCGTGTGTGTGTGTGTGTTGACAGGGAGGGTGGCTGGGCATAGGGCCCTGCTGACTGGGGAGCTGCTCAGACACTGACTCAGATGCCACCAGGGAGAACAGACAGGCGCTTTGTACAGGGAGCCCTGGGACACACTCCCTCAACACTGTCACCACTATTAAGGATAATGCACACACATACATACACATCATGTACACACATACGCACGTGTACCTGTGTGCAGCTGCGCTCTTTTGTTTTACACACACATATTCTACAGTGCATTAATACCCATAAATAAACCGATTTAAGCATACACCCATATGCACACCGCCCAGCAAACACATGCACGCACGCACACACAAGCTGAGGCTTAATTGGCTTATATTCCTGAACCATGCTCATATAACAACATGGAGAAAAAGCAAGACAGAGAAAGAGCTTTAAAAGAGAAATTCATAACAAGCAGATAAGGCCGAGGAACAACCTTTCTGCTACAAGGTTAATAATTCACCATTTAATTTATAATTAATAATTCATCCTACACCTTTTTGCTGAGTCACAGTCAAAATGTCAAAGGTTTTTGTCATGTGTTGAGAATTTAACTCTTAATACTGACCAATAGTTTGAATTAAGCTGGTCCCATTCTGTAAGAAATAAACCCACCAAACATTGACATCTCTACTGGAGTTCTTACCTTGGCCATTTGAGCCTGCACTCCACCCGCCTTCAGCGCTGTCACTGCCTTCTGAGCTGAGGCTGGACTGTCAAAGTCAACAAAGCCGTAGCCTGCAGGGATATACAGCAAAACATACAAGTCAGGTATATGCATACTGCGGGACTCTATGGACACAGCCATGTAATTTGAACTCATGAAGCACTTAGAGTAGTAGTGTTTGAATCTGAAGAGACAGCCAACTCTCTTTGAACTGGGCTTCTCCATGGAAGACAGATGAAGGGTTACACAACACTGCCTATAGTATGTCACACAATACACACCTGTTAGGTATAGTGTGAAGTTTAACACAAAATAAACACTTGGCAACCGAACAGCTTTATTGAGAACAACGAATCAGCAATGTGCCTTACCTTATAACTGGGATCTGTAACTTTCAACACATTCAAACTATAGTAGAGATGAGAAATCAGTGTCATGCTTGTGACATGACTTACCCTAACCTCTCTGTTGTCAACTGACACAACAATGTGTTAGTGAATACATTATCTACTGAGGACATAAAGTTACAGAGCAACAGCTTTGTGAACAGTTTTAGTGGTGTATGGAGTGCATTATTGTTCTTCCTGTTTACCATCTGCCATACATGGTCAAAATACATTTACAATAAATATTATAGATTTCACATTTTCAAGTCCAGATTCACATTTATTGATTTGAGACTATGGTTGCAAGGTATGGAATACAAACAAAATAACATCAATAACATCAACCATTAGTCGATGAATCCATTAGCCAATCGACACTGCACATGTGAATGCAAGATCCGTGATGAATAAGTCGTTTATTCTGAAGGACTTCTTCAATACGCATTCATTGGATTTATTCTTTATTACGGAAACATGGATTATCTGGTTGAGTCCACCGCCTTTTCAGAACTGTTGAAAACTCCCGAGTGTACTTTTATTAACACACCGCATACGACTGGATGTGGAGGAGGTATTGCCACAATATTAAAGAGTCACTTACATTGTAAGCCATTGTCGATGGCTTTTACTTCATTTGAGCTAAGTTGCTTTGAACTGGGTGCGCGTAATACTGTTCTGTGCGCGGTGATATACCGGCTGCCAAAGCATAATCGTGACTTTATTAAGGACTTTTCTGATTTTATTGCTGTTGTAAGAACAAATTATGATAAGATTTTAATTGTTGGTGATTTTAATGTACACGTCTGTTGCCCTTCAAAGGCTATGGTGAAAGAGTTTTTTGATTGATGGTTTTATTGGATCTTGTACTGTCCTATGGGCTACCTATTGATAATGTATTAGTGTCTGATGCTATTTTTTCGGATCATTGTCCTGTCATGTTTGATTTTGTTTTATACGATTTAGTAAAACCACCCGCTCCCGTGCGTCATGGCCGCACTCTTAAGCCTGACACCTCCTCGTGTTTTTCTTCTTTTTTTGCTGCTCATGTGCAAGCAAACAGAAGCTCCGCTGCCTCAGACACAGAGCAACTAACAAATGTTTTTCTGTCCACCTGTTCTGAGGTCCTGGACACTGTAGCTCCAATAAGAGCCATGCGCCCTAGACCAAAGCCTGAGCCATGGCACTGTGAAGCCACGCTCACAGCCAGGCGAGAGTGTAGAAGGGCAGAGCGCCGGTAGAAAAAGGATGCACGTGTCTTATCAGATTTTACAGGACAGCTGGAGAAACTATCCAAAAATTGTTAAAGCTAAACAAACACAATATTTTTCAGAAATAGTTTCTCAAAATGCCAACAATCCACGTGTTCTTTTTAAAACCATTCAGTCTATGTTGAACCCTCCACGATCCACCTCTATTGAATTTTCACCTGATACTTTTTATCTCTATAAATTTTTGGACTTTTTTTAACAGTAAAGTTTCAAATATCAGAGCCAATATATTGCTATCCTTTTTAAACTTCTCCTTAAACATGCACTGCTCAGCTATTTTTTGTCAGTTTGAGCCAGTTTCACTGCCATTTCTTACAAAGATCATCAATCAAATTAAACCCTCCGCATCCCCCATGGACCCTGTCCCTCCACACCTTTTCAAGGATGTGTGGGAAACGATTGGCTCTCATGTTGAGGAAATTACAAATAGTAGCCTGTCTTCTGGAGTTGTGCCTGCATTTTGTAAAAAAGCAGTGATTGAGCCAAATTCGAAAATTTTAGAAAAATGTGTACTTATGCAGCTACAGTCTTTTCTGGAGACACATGGCACTTTAGATATTTTTCAGTCAGGTTTTAAAGCATTTCATAGCACTGAGTCTGCACTTTTAAAGGTTTTTAATGACCTGTTTTTAATGACAGATTCTGGTGATTCAGCCATTTTAGTGCTTTTAGATCTCACTGCTGCTTTCGACACAGTTGACCACACAATTCTTTTATCTCGCATGGAAAACTGTGTGGGAGTCAGGAGGACTGCCCTAAAATGGTTCCAGTCATATCTTTCAGGGAGATGCTTCTTTGTTAAAATGGGAGACTCTACCTCATTAACTGCGCCTCTTAACTGTGGGGTCCCTCAGGGATCAATTCTTGGTCCTATTCTTTTTGCACTGTACCTATTCTTTTTGCACCTCTTTCCACTTGGAATAGTTTTTAAAAAGCATGGCATCTCCTATCATCTTTATGCTGATGATTGTGAAATTTATATGCCAATCAGAACTTGACTGGCATATAAACTTGACTGTTTAAATGACGTGTGGTTAGCCCAAAATTTCTTAAAACTAAATGAGAGTAAAACAGAGATCATGCAGTTTGGCCCCACTAACTCCATGATAGACTTGGGCCCCCTTAATGACTTTGTGCATCCTGTTGTAACTAACCTTGGGGTCAAAATAGACAGTGATTTTAAACTTGACAAACAAATAAATGCGGTTGTGAAATCTAGTTTTTATCATCTTCGCCTTTTAGCCAAAGTTAAACATTTTTTTGTCTTTTAACAGTTTTGAACAAGCTACACATGCTTTTATTTCTTCTCGTTTAGACTACTGTAATGCACTTTATATCGGTATAAATCACAACGCACTTTCACGCTTACAGTTAGTCCAAAATTCTGCAGCACGTCTTTTAACAGGAACCAAAAAGTGCGCTCATATAACTCCAATTCTTGCCTCATTGCACTGGCTTCCTGTTTGTTTTAGGATTGATTTTAAGATTGTATTGTTTGTTTTTAAAGCTGTGAATGGACTGGCCCCAACATATATCTCAGACCTCATCCAAATTTATATGCCAGGCGTCAAATTAACAAACACCCTTTGGCTTACCTGACTGTCATAATGGAAATCAATTTAAACATGCTACTATTCCCTGTCACTTATTATGTTATTATTGAATCATTATTCTTACATTCAAACTAAATGCGATACTTGTCTCCCAGACAGTTGTCATTCCCAAGACTGCAGAACCTCCGATTCCTATTCAAGACTCTGTACATGTTCGAGCGACCCTGGGTCAATTCCAGCGTTATTAACACCTGAAGTTACAAATAGCCTTTTATTTTATTTTTCATACAACAGGATTTTTCCATTTAAGTTCCTGTTAAAATTCAACATAAAGATCACATACTGACATATATTTGAGCTGGCTTTGCCACTTCTGTATGAACTGACCTTTCAACCTCTGCTCAACAGTTGCTTTCAACCACTTGATGCCTTTACACCTCACCTTTGCACTTGTTGGTAGTCTTGTCCAGGATGGCCTTGGTGGATACGATTTTCCCATACCTGAAGAAAAAAAAAACGAGGTTTACGCTCATGGTACGTCCTTACACTGTGTATTGAAAAATAATTACTTGTTTACATTCAATATTAGCATTGCAACATTGCCGAGGCAATGAGGTTTCTCTCTGAAATTAACACACTAAAGCTGATGATAGACGGACGGAGCAACTTTTAGAGCAATGGTGCCAGTTTAAGAGATTGTGCTCCATGATGACCTCCATTATTCACCTGACAGATTCAGTGCAATGACACGGAATACAATCTAATAATAAATTATGTGCATAGGGAAATCTTTAGAGAGGGGGTGGAACATAAATTAAATGAAATAAGAGTAATGACCTGTGGGTTTCTGCAGAAAGAACTATAGATTTCCCATATGTTATTCATTCCTGCTCACATACAAATGTCAATAGGGACTCAAGGGAAATCCAACATGATGTCACAATATGGTACAAATAAGACTGCTTTACAATGCACTATCAATGTAAAAATCCTGCATTATCTGTGCAGCTGGCCAGCTATAGATACTGCATATGCACTGGATAGTGCCTGGCTCGGGCAAATGCTCCTGTGCTGCAGAGTGTCTATCAGTTTCCATCTCTCCAGGCATGTGCATGCAGTGTAATCTGATATGCCTCTCCTTGGCTGTTCTGTCCAATGCTGGCTCCAAGCCATACTCTCATTCTACTAACCAGCTTCACTCTAGGCAGTGCTCAGCCCTACACTGGGTCTTAGTGCCCCCACAATCCAATCCAGCTTTCATCCGGTGAACACTGCACCACTGCCACAATTTATCTGTGCTATAGAGTCACTTTCAAAAAATACGGATTAATGACCTGCTAGTGTAATCTGTTGGATTACTCCAAATTGAAAATCAAAACATTAATTTAGGATTACTTACACATAAAAAAAAAAAGAATCTGTAAATCATAACTCTAACCCTTTATTCCTTTACCAAGATGGCTTAAGGTCTCCCTTGAAGATGATGACGTTTTTATGGAAACATCCAATAATTTTAAATTATTGATTTGGAAACAACAACAGTACATTACCACATGTTCGCAATATAAATATTGAAGTATATACACAGTATGTTCAAATTTTACTTGAAATATGTCTATCCAGTCTCAATATACAGCAAGGCAAGAAGACCAAACCATCATTGGTGTGATCCTAAAACAGTGTTTATCTTTGACTTAAGTTCGCATTACGGAACCCACTCCCTCTTTCTGCTAAATTACGTCAATCCACTGAAGGCTTTGAGATATTATATTTATACTCAATGGCTTTTAATAGTGTCCGATTGCCTGTTTATCTTCATTCTTAGGTTTCATTTGTGTTTATACCCTACATAAAAAACACTTAGTATGTTAAAAATGCATTCAATTCAAGGTATAACAGACAGATATTGTAATATATTTTTAATTATTTATCCTACCCAAATTCTTTGCAAATTGAATCCATCCATTGTTGGTTAACTGAAGGTCTGTTGTATTATACATTGACTTCGCATTTAACATTACTATTTCATGGTGCATTTCTGATTGTAAGCCATAAGATGCTGCCAGCTGGACTGAATGCATATGCCAACATTGTCTTCCTATATTTTCATACATACTTCCCTTCCTACCAGTCTGTGACGTCACATTATGGCCTGTATTTAAGCTGTGAGCTGTGCTTGCTGCAGTCTGCTGCTTACACAGTTGAGATACCCATTTACTTAATTGCGCTCAAGAACTTGGACTACATGATGATGCAAAGCGAAAAGAGGGGCTAGAGACTCAGCCATGTGTGAGAGCACAACATAGTCCAGCCCAATGTCCATCCATGATCAACCACCAGAGACGGACCGGGGCAGGAAACGCAGTGGGGCACGCAGAGAGATAAACCCCATCCCCTCCTCTCACCCCTCACTCCCAACACAGTACACTGTGCATACAACAACTCTCAGTGTGGGGGAGGGGAGCATAGGGAGTTTTGTTTCCTGATATTATGCACACATTTAATGTTCAAACTTGAGTTAAGCAAGTCAAATTCACACTCCATGACTTGTCGCCCTACTGTTTAACATCCTCATCTACAAGCATTTCCCCTGTTAACTATTATTGGTTACAGTATCCTCTCTCAATCTGGTTTAACTGAGAATTACATTGGCCTTAATGTGGTCTGCTAAAAGGCAAATTTCATGCAGTGATTTTATCTGCTCTGTAAAACAGAAACATGAGAACTACCCCCACAGAACACCACCTGACACAAACCCAGAACTCCATTCACTCCTCCTCCCCCCTGATTCTCTCCATCCACCCCCTAAACCCCCCACCCCTCATGCCATTGCCCTTGTTTGTCTTTCCCTTTCCCCTGGGCTCGCCGTTTCCTGTAGGGTTGGGCAGCCTCATGTGAGCCATATCTTCCAGACAGCTGTAAAATAGCAGGCCTCTCCCTCCCTCTCTCCCTTATTCACTCTCTCTAGCCCTCCTTTCCCTCCTTTTCTCTCGCTCTTCTGGTCCTCATCACCAGGCTCCAGAATTCAATTAAGTGAACCCAGATCATTCATCTCAGCCCTACTTGTTTTGATGTCTTCCACTGAAGGCCTAACAAACATATATCAGATGGATTGGATGATGCTGTTGTTTGATGTCTGACTACATGCTGCCCACAGCAGAGTTTTCAAAGACTCACACTCACACTGATGAGCAACATAGTGTGGTATTTATAGTGCAGAATATGACTTTGAATTAGGATAGCACAGTCCCATTGTCATTGTACTCATGATGGCAATCTACAAGACTAAAACACAGACGAGCAATAACAGGGAGACATTCAGAAAGAATTAGCGTGAAAGAGGGAGACTAAACATTCTGTAGCTAGTTGTTGGAAAGTCTGAACCTAGCTATGCCAAAGTGAAAGGTCTTAGTTTGCTGCCCAAATGATTGTTGGTTTTTCCATGAGGCCACTAAATGATGGGCCTTAAAAGCATGTGGATGAAAATGTGGCCTTCTTCTCAGATCCACAAATACCTGCTACGGTGCGCTTTAGCATTTATGTGCATTTCAAGTGTAAGGAAGTCGCGCAAGTATGTAGTCATGCGATCCTTGATGCATTATGCTGGCCAGCCATCACACTCCATGCACCCATTGCTCTGTTCTACCTCAGTCTACTCTGCAACTGCAATCTGTTTCATGTGCGCAGCGGGCAAGCAGAGAGAGATTTATTGGGTGTACATGTAAAGGTTTCGAGCAACTGTTTTTTTAGGTGACTTACGGCTGACAGAGTTTGACCAGATCCTGGTCTGTGGTCCCTGGGTGGAGGCCACGGATGTACAGGTTGGTTTTGCTCAGCTGCTCTCCCCCACTGCTGCTGCTGCCATTGCTGATGGAGGAGGTGGTAGTGCTACTATTGCTGTTGTTGTTGGGGCTTGGAGGAGCCATCTGATGGTTGGAGGGGGACACATACGCCTGCTGCAGAACAAATAGAGGACATAGTCAGATTTGGAATGTACAGTTGTAAACATAGCAGATACTGTGATACCGTGTAGATTAAATTAAATTCATACACTGGATATGAATCAAGAACAGTTAGTTAATGGTCTAATAACTGACCTGCTCAAACTACATACACACAAAAAAGGCTCTGAATGTGCCCTGGTTTAGCAGAGATGGAAATAATACAAATCACCAGCTATAAGGTTACATAGATACTGAAATTAAAACTAAATAATTTCAAACTCCTCTACAGGCAGCCAGCAGCAATTCAGTCTCTCCGGTATACCGTGCTTGGGCAGGAGATGAAGGAAGTCAATGCCCATTGTCAAGTCTGCATACCAAAGGAGGGAGGCTGGCAAATTTGGAATATTAAGTATGATCCAGTAATGTTGTAAGATTGAATGTCTTAATAGACTAGCTGTTATGAAGTCATTCATTAAGACAATACCATCCATACATTCATCGTCAACCACTTATCCTTTGTACAAGGTCGCAGGGAGACAATAATACACCCTGTCTTCATGTTGTCAGGGACATCAATTCTGACTTTATCCAAGCTAGAAACATGTTGCCTGTACATGTATTTTACATTCAATAGTGAAGGCTAGGACATAGAATCACTCGACTGCAGTGTCTGTATATCTGATAGACAAGGTTTTGAAATGTAAATGTAAAAGTGTATAGCGTACATGGGAACTACGCTTTGCCGATCTTGTGAAGGCAAGTTTTTTCTGAATGTAAAAACAAAGTGTATATATTAAATCTGGCTGGAATGAATGTGGCCCAGATCCACACTGCTGCAAGAGAGGCTTTTATTTTGTGGGTGAAAGCTGAAAGGATTTTTGCGAACAAGTTTTCATTGGGATTATTTGAAATAGCTCCAATCTAAGCTGTTCACAGGGAGATCTGTGGATTAGCTACAGTATCCAGGACATTGTTTCTGGAAAGCAACTTGGCTTTTTCAAATTTAATTTTCCAGTGCTTTGAGCAGCAAAAAACAAATTCCTTTCACCACTATTGTGTTGGGGTGATGGCAAAAATCTCAAAACCTAAACTATGTGAATGGCTGGATACCAGTAAAAATATTTTGATTTTTTTTTAGATTTGAGTAAACTGACCTGTTAATTTGAAGATACTCTTGAACTAAGAATTACGGTCGAATAGCATATGACTATATATACCAACAATGTAAAAAATAATATGCTCTGGTTATGTGCTTGTACGTAAACTTCGCATCTGCTGAACTGGTTTCATGAACTGGCAGCTCACGTATGTGCAAGTATGAGACTTCTCCCACCTCAATGAATACATGCAATGAGCATGTCATTGGTTGTACCCACATACAAGGAATCTTAAACGCATGTGCAGATGTGCACATACACGTAACAATTTTAAAACTGTTTTCAAAAAAATCTTAGTCCAGAGACCATAGACCATAGTCCAGAATAAACCAAATCAAATTGCCATGGACATAAAATGTCAGCTAAATTTGCCCTTGGTATTGCCTTCCTCTCAGTTCTGGTGGAGGAGGAAGTGTTTGATTAGTTAGGGTCAGCATGCCTGGCCCCAGGGAACAATGGGATGGCTTGTTGAACACCACAAGGTCAGCACTGGAGCACCAGCTTATTAACAGAGAGGGAGTTGTCAAAAGACTGCTGGAATCAAGCTAATTATGACCTCTCTATTTCTGTCTTCTCTGGATCTGTTCTAACCACCTAATACAAGTTTAATTCAGATTCCACAAACATAAAACTATGAGGGAACATTTCACAAAATCTGAACTATGATTTGAATGTTTAAAAGCAAGCTGTGGTTTGAAAAGAGAACAATAGGATTTTCATGTTTAAAACTAAGACATGAATGTTTGTTTCATGCTCATAATATTGGCAGTCTAATGCAATGTTAAAAACTAAATTCTGAGATTCCCATCTGGTCTGGATGTTGGAACATGTAAAAGGGGGGAGTTCAAAACAGTCCAATATGCGTGGCCAGGGAGAAAGAAAAATCAACCAGTCATGTCTGTTCCAATCAACTAATGGAGCTTTTACTAAATGTTTTTTATTAATCACAAGTCACGTCAGTCAACTCACAAGTTCCAACAACGGCTAAAATCGGCAGCAGGGAGATGGGCTAAAGCTGCAATAAGTTAGATGTTGTGTTCGTTAGTACTTTGTGTGTAATTTTTGCAATGTATCCAACAATGTAAGCTCACAACAAGGTGTTCCTGAGCTCTGAATGACTTGTGTGGAAGCAACAGCATAGCTAACATTTAGCTAGCTAGCTAAATGTCCTGGATGGAAGCTCACGTTAGCTGCTGTTATTTAACACTGTATCTTAGTTTGGTTAAAATAATTGTTTTTCCTGGTCTAATGTTCCTGACACTTTTCAAATCACTCTTGTATAAGATTAAATCGATTAAACTTTAAGCCCCTCACAGACATGGAATCTATAAAATCTTAAATATGACTTAATTTTATGGTTGAAAGAAACTACTTCTTATGTAACCTACTTCAAACTAACTGTCTACATGCTAGCTGCATACATATAACATAGCATGCAAATTAATGACATGTCAAAGCATGTATGTGTAAAATATGAATTCTATATTCCCTAATACAAACACATTTTGACCTAAAATCCTGAATACAGGAATAATGTGCACTCTGATATCTCTTATTACATATAACTTATATACTGAATACATATACTTATATAGTATATACTGAATGTGTAGCAACATTCTTTTCAGACACTGCTGACATAAGTAACAGAACTAGAGTTGCAAAAAGATTTTGACAGTACGATAACTGTCTGAGAAAGTATCACGGTATTTCCCTATTATTATTTATTATTATTATTAAGTTTCTTTGGTTGAACAAATGCTTTTTACAAAATAGTATGCCTTGGCAAGACATGAAACTTGTTATAAACTTGAAAGAAATATGGAATATATGGACATTTTAGAAACACTAAAATGGTACAATTCAATTCCATAGATAAGCAAATGTACATAGTATGATAACCGTCAATTTTCAAAGCTGCAACCCTAACCAGCACCAATGAATCTTTTGCAAGCTTTATTGCATCCATTGCATCCCAGCTGCCTTATGTTTTCCACAATGTTTAAGAATCAGCCTTTCAAAGCTTACTCCCTGTCTTTTTAGTCAAGCTGGGAAAAGCACAATGACTCACAGAGCCCATTCATCTTGGTCCTCTTCTCTCCCTGTCCTCTTTAGCATCAATAGTACACTGTTTGTTTTTCCACAACCATAGCCCCTTCCTGTGCTTTCCCTTGCCTTCACTGTAGGCGATCCGCACAGACTATCAGGAGGGATGCACCTGCAGAGGCCTGGGGAGATAGGATCTGACGGGAGGCCGAGTCCGGGCCTGAGCCTAGCTAGTGAGGCCTGTCTAATTGGCATCTGAGCTTGTTAGCGGAAAGTGCTAATCCCTCTCATGTGCTCTCAAGTCAGAAGGTAGTGTCTCATTACGACCGCTCTGCTAGGCTGCTTTTGAAAAAGGAATGGCAGTGAGTCAGATCCACACCTACTCCCCATCTGCCCCAGTGCCAGCTCCAGGTGTTTTGCCACCCATGTAAGGCAATGCCTAATGTTCTGGTGCAGACACAGGCAAATATGCGTGCAGAAGAACTCAGAAAAGCAGGTAGAAAGGGAAGGGCAGAAAGTACGATAATGTGCTAGATTGGGAATCACAATTCTCATTTTCTCATCTTTAGCATATAATAACAGTTAAGTCTGTTCCCAAAACTGATTACTGAGGCCTTCTGCTACGTTTGCACCTCCCGTCCAGGCTAAAATGGCGAAAACGAAGACTTGCCAAAATGGAGGACTTTAGAAACAATGAAGCAGCCACTCACACTCGGCCCTCTGATTGGGTCTTGCAAATCAGAAACACGATGCTACTGACCGGATTTTTGACATGTACTTTTATTAAAATATAATGTACGGTGCAAATAACACTTTTGCCTACACTTGTACTGTGCATGTCGCCGTTTAGGCTACTTTGCAACAACTCCCGGTCTGTTTTCCACCGCCACACTCACATGTTACATTCAGTAACAGTCCCAGCTCGTTATTGGTGCATGCAAAAAAATAAAAAAAAATAAAGGTCTGATGCTTCCTCTGTATTTATTTATTATTTTGCCAAATCTTCTGTAACCACGGAATAGACCATGCTTTCTGTTTACACTGGCACGCGCATGCCCAGTGTACCTGAACAGGCCCTAGCTCTGCATCGTTTTAATGTAGACGGAGATCAACTCCAAAACGCAGTTAAAACGCTGGTGTGGATGGAGATCGTGTTTGTTTTAATTCTCGGTTTGTAAACTAAAACAGAGTAGTGTGGATGGCGCCTACTCTTCAGTCCACAGCTGCCCTCTTAACTTTTTACACTGTACCATACATCCAGTATCCTCTCTGAGCATTCTTTACATTCCTCTGCAATACACAAATGTTTGTATTTCTCTCCTTGAAGTGGACAGGCATTGTGGGGGATTAGGGTTCAAGCTGTCATCATTAAATTGAGCTACATTCCTGGAAGCATCATAATTCTGTGGGAACTGGCCTTCTTGACAAGACAACATCAACCCTGATAATTACAGAAAATCCTCCTGTGCACATACAACATCCACACATTTACAACTGACATACAGAAATGGATATGAAAACAAGAGGCATTTATTTTTATAGTGTAGAAGAAAACATTAATCCCATCCTGCCCATGAATAATTCTCAGTTGCTTCCATCAACTCTACTACTACTACTACTACTACTACTACTCTCTGTATAGAGAAGCTGGAAATATATATGGTCCTCACGTCCCCATTATTATCAAAGAGTATGCAGTTGTTGCAGAAAGATAAATCAGCTATTTTCCGTATTATTATAGTTGTGCAAAAAGCATAACTACAGTAATTGGCCCACAGAATGGTGCAGAGAACGGGAGTGAGCTCCAGGCAGCAGCTGAGGACTGATGAGGTGATTACAGCTGGAGGGAGCAGAGGTGATGCCTGTAGGGAGCGCAGGTGACTCAAGGACTTTTTTCACCCAAGAGAGTGCCAAGTGATGGAGGATGTATGCCTTTAATTCCAAAGTAATCACAAAGATATAAGTTTGATTGCTTGCCATTTGAGTGCTACATATCTCTGGCATCACAAACCCTTTTGTGCTACTGATGTTGAGGATGTTAGAACCATAGTTAGAACAATGGTACAAAAACTTCTTAGTCTTAGTTCATTCCATTAAGTTATTTCATTTAATTATCTTTATCCCAAAGTTAGCATATATTTGCCAACAAAGTCCTAAGAAAAAAAATAGATGCATGTTGCTTATCATTATCAACAAAATGGTACTTTTCATTACCATACAGTATAGCATTCCAATAATGCACAAGTAAACCTTCAACAATATATTCTCTATATTGCCTGCCTCCATACTGTTTTAAAAACACACATCTTGTATCTTGCATGAGAGAGAAATATCTTAAATGTGGAGTCCTACCTGCTTGGCTAAAGAAACTTTAAAAGGCACCGTAGAAAAGATCATAGCTTTACAGATACAATCTCTCTATATTATATATGCAGCTGTTGGGAAGTTGGGAAGAACCAAATGTGATGAAAATCCTTGGCGTCCTGTGGCTAAAAGGGGAGACTTCTCCTTGCTCTCCTTCTCCTGACTTAATCCAGTTTCATTACAAACATCAGAAAAACCTTAACAGATGCTTTGAAAAAGTATTTTTTCAACAGGTATCCTGCACCCCAAAGACAGCACTGACAGTCAAGAAATCAAGGTATGTGAAACACACAGGGGAGAAAGACAAAAAAGGCAGGGGGGGAGTTAATCAAAAGCAGAGGAAAAGGGGGGGGGGGGGCTTAGTCCTTTCTTTTCTCCGCCCTTTTTCCCGTAGAAAAAAAACACAGACCAAGGGGTTACCACTTGACACTGGATTTACAAGTCTTCCCTCTGTGTGACTTTGGCGCTCTAACAATGCTAAATGTGTGTGCATGTCTTCTTTCAAGGAAAAGGTTTGAGTTTGCAGAGCCCCTCTTGAAATGAGCACATTGTCTGAATCCGGGATTCCAGGAATTCCAGGTCATTAATCTGAGCAATCTGAATCCCCTGCCAGCCGCGAGGCAGGGAAGAGAATAACACAGGGAAGGAGAGGAGGTATTTGATTTCACCTTTGTTCAAACATTATTCAAGAAATGCTGAGAGTCATTCATCAACATACTTCATATGCCACTCCAGTCACACTTTACCTGTAACATTTTTAAGGCACAATTTGGCATGAAATCTTCAATTTCTTCAAGACTCAGCACCCAAAATGCTCCAAATCCTAGACACGACTAACAGTTCACACTGTGGAATTGTTGGTGAAAACAATCTTGTCTAATCCTGTTCTTTCTATAAGAATCCCAGAATTTAAAACATGAAAAATCTATAGTCTGTACAAAGTGGCTGAAAATAGATAACACTGTCACTCCATTAATTATTCATATAAGAAGACAAGCGAAATTAGACCTTCTGTTGTCATTGCTCTATAACTGACCTGCACATATATTGCATCTGCATTAGACTTATTACATGGGCTCAGTAACTTTCCCTCTTTTTCATAGCGCCATGCAATCCCTCTCAGTCGTCATTAGTAGGAATGAAGGGGCGGGGCATATCAGTACGCGTAAAATAGGGGGGGAAACATTGCTAACTTGTGGTAAATTCAATGAAAACATAACCTAAGCGAACACGCAGTTGATTCAAACCTCACAAATTGATATAAAAGTCGAAAATAATTAGCACTTTTAGCTTATTCGGAGTCTTACTAGTTTCTGCAGCACATTTGTAAGCTCTAACGTTACTCTGCGTGCAGGCTAGGTGTACGAAGAGTACAGTACAGCGACCGTGGAGGGGGGGACGGGGACGAAAGCAAACTGTAGAGGTAATATACATCCAACAATACAACAGGCACCGCATCACTTTGTTACAGTGTCAAAAAACCCGACAGCAAAGTAGAGAGTTTAAAACGTACCCTGTGATCCACTTTCAAGGACACTGCAGCTTAAACAGCCGAGCAGCTTTTTTAACTGAGGAGGCAGAGCTCGAACAAACACCGCAGCGAGAAATTACTCAAGTGTTTCAGAAAGAGGAGACAGAAGTAGGCTGTGGTGTTTCTATTTACCCTTTTGCTGTTTTTGCCGGTGTAGCCGTTGTATGGGTTGATTCCTGTCCTTGGCGGCACCGAGAGCAGCATTTTTACGCGGCGCTGTGTCCGGAGGAGCGGAGGAGCGGGGAGCCAAGGCAGTCAGCTGACGTCAGCCAGGGAAATACAGGCAGGAACAGCGCGAGTGCTTGGAGTCGCTCTTCCCAGCGCTCTGATGTGCTCCACACACAACACTGGCTATATGCTTGTGTGGTATATCCGACTTTATCTCTGGGCTTCTTAGCCTCCTCTTCAACCACTAAATGATAACACATTGTAGGAGATAGCCTAAATAAGTAGGCAAAATTCTACAGTGCCAAGTCATCAAAGTAACCCTGCAGGGTTAAGGATTTGGCGAAGAAATACAGACAAGCTGATCCCAATATTTGTACCTTTTAGGTTTTACTGTCAAGCTAAGTGTGCAATAATGCATCAGAAGAGAAAAGGGATTTCACACTACTATTTACTGAGTAGACATCCCTCACAGTAACCTGGAATAACTTTTACAGCCATAGGGTTTGAATAATTATAACATTAATTAATGTTAATAAATTTATGCATATTTTTAATTAATTTAGCATATGTTCCATCCCAAAATTCCTAATCAATACCTATGGCATCAAAATCCTTGTCAAATGTTTACAAATAACAAATCTGGCAACACTGGCATTCTCTTCCATTCTGACCATTTTGTCAAATAAAGCACATGTATCTCCTAAAGGTGGAGAATCTTTGAAACAGGATTTAGACCATCCTGGTTCACTAAACAAATGACATTTATCCATAGTTATCAGCTCTTTATGGCTGGCCAGCCTTTATCTACTGAGTAACAGTGAAGCTCTATGAGATAGATTACTGTCTTTAGAGAAATAAGAAATCAAAGAAAACATTATTGAAAAATGACAAACATGGACAAAATCAGAACAAATCATCATATTGACCAGACAATGGAATTCAGAGACTGTTGTGCCCACATCGTTACAGAGACCTGCCCCATCAACATCCCGGATCAAGCACTCGGCTGTCAGCGCAAGATTCCAGCAAGATGAGAGGAAGTGGACTCATTTTTTACATCGATGATGGTTGGTGTTCAAACGCAGTCAAAATGGACTCTGTTTCCCAAGTGTCAGACTGTTTATTGGGAAGATGAAACTTTTATATTATCATCTGTTTGCTGCTGTTTACATTCACCCCAGATTCAAATTCAAAAAATGCACTGTGGAATGTTTGGGGTGTATACGTGTCTGTATATATGTATATAAGTAACTGTATATATTGTTTTATTTTATTGTATATGCTACCATATTTTAATATAGGCCTACACTTATGCTGTGTGTGTATCATGAAGGAATTACGATTTTCATTTCCTTATGCAGCCTTGTGCTGTATAATGACTAATAAACAACCTTGTACCTTGAAAAGAGGTTTAAACGTTCTACATATACTCTGTGAACAGAGGAAACCCTCAGCATGTCAGAACAGAAGTGTAATTTCTCTTTGTTGTGCTAACATGTAACATGAGAGATAAAAGTTGTCCAGCATTTGTTACATTATGCTATTTTTGGAGTAAACTAATTGTATACACCAGACATGTAATCAAAATGATGTAAGTCACACAAGGAAAGTGTATTGCCAGTGAAAACCTGAAAGTGATGCTTTCCTGAAAATATACTTGATAGTTGTTTTTTGTGTTTGTGGTGATACTGGAGCTTAAAGTGCACCTACCTTTCAGTTTACTTTTTCATCACTTCTTATATAATGCTAATGTTAACGCTGGAAGGTATAACTGCATCTCTACTAATTTCTATGTTTTTATGTTTCTGGATCTGGAGCTGACCCAAATTTACATATAACTCTTGATAAACAAGATAACTAACTCAAAAATGTATTGCATGTTGCATCCCTCTGCCTTTGCATCAATTGTCATGCCTTGAGAAGAATAAAAAAAGTATTTGTATCAACAGAAGTTGCTTGGCAACTAAATCCCTTGACCCCTTTGCCTTGTCTTGCCTACCCTGACTGATTAGCCCTCCAGTGTGTAGAAAACACATGCAGTTGTTCACTCAGCCACACAGTGTGTGTTTCTAGCAGTGGCATTTGCATAATACATCTACAACTGCAAAATTCTGCAGCACAGAAAGACGGAGGACAGTCCTACATACTTACGTTAAACTAGATGCACAAGGGATTTCATCCTGATTTCATCATGAAGGTCTAGTCAGACAGACGGAAGAGGCTCTGCTGAATTTATAATCTCTATCTCCCCTTCTATCTCTCTGTCTCCCACACACATGCATTCACACAGTGTCAAAACTTGATGCATTGGTTTCATTTGCATAAAAATAACATTAGACTGCATTGCCATCATTCTTTCCAGCCAGATATTGACGCTTTTTCGACTGGGACGCTGTTTTCAGAACACAATTAGGTCAGAGTTGTTTACTCCCCCCTGTTTCAATCTATGCAATGTTTTGATATGAGTGTGCAAGTGTTCAGCCAGATGGGCTATGAGTTCCACAGAGCTCAAGGACAGTTTGGGGAGTGACTCAGTCAGCAGACCCGAGCCAGCCAACACACACACACACTGAATTCACCAGTAACAGGAATAGTGGGGCCTTTTGGGAGCTGTGGGTTTTGGGTAGGGTTTCCTCCACTAATAGAGAAAAAAATACTCTGATTTGATTAGTAACTATATACTACAGATTCTGTTGATCAAGCAATTTAATCTAGAATAATAAAGAGTTGAATGAAGTACGTTTCCTGGTAGAACAACCAAAATATTACATAAAATAACACCTGCATTATCTACAAATCTCCTGTGAAAATGTCATGCTGAACTTTGTGTTAGAGTGAGGCTCTGGCTAGTGGCTTGTATGGGGGAGAAGTGAGTTGGGATGAGTGATGGGGGGGATAGGGGGTTAGGAGAACACAGGCTGCTGGTGCATGCTCCACATTCCTCAGGTGTTGTCAGCATAGCTTGCTCAGTAATTACCTCTCTGTGAAAACATGCACACAGCCACACTTTACTAGCAAACTAAAAGGCAGCAACCAAGAGAAGCTGTTAGGGGGGACATCAGAGACAGATGGGAGCACATTTATATTTACATTTAGGCATAATACGAGCTGGAATGATTATTTTTCAAGAGAACGAGTGTGCCAGAGTAAAATTTGTTGAAAAAATACAGGCATGGTGTACTTGTGCATGCAGTGCAGCTACAGATGCAGAGCGTGGCTGTGTGAGAGTAAGGAGCTTGAGTTATACAGCAATCCATCTTCTCTCAAGGATATGGGCAGGCTGGGTAATGACTGTAGCCAAGCAGACCGTGGCATGTGAATCTAGCAGTGTGATACAGATGTTCAGCTGCAAAGATGGTGGTCAGCCTTCATACACAGAATCCTTTATTAACTTTGTATACAGGGAGCAGATTCTCGTGTTCTTCTCTCCGCATGCAGCGTTGTCATTTTTTCTTTCAGATGTCATCACTTTCATTATTGACACCACTGTCACCAAAGAAGCAGGTTCTCTCTGTCTGGGAACTAGCCCACCCTCCCCACTCTTTGCCCTGCTCTGTCTCCTTGGCTGGCTTGCTAAAAGCTGAAGGATTGTGTGCAGATGTGCCTGGAGAGAGGCCAGCCCCTCTGCCCTGGGAGAACATGTGGTCTGGGAGTGTTTACACTGGCACTCTTTCAAGCTGTCTCCCACACAGCATGCTGGCGTCTGTCTTTCCTGGATGACAATGCTCATCTCTCCTCCCACAAAGGGGGCATTCTCAGGTTGAGGTGACACCAGCGATCATGTTGATTTGAATGTAAATAAAAAGTAAACACATTTGCTGACATCAAAAAATGGTGTTTTCCAGTTAACTTGAATAGGAGCATTAATTATACACATGGAATGATAGTTTGATTGCCCCCCCAAAAAACTTTTACCATCCTGCTATACTTACAATTTCCCCCTTAAGCCTCATTGTGTTTATAGTCTGTTTTGATGGTAGGAGTGAAAATATGCTTGGATTCAACAGATATCATTTCAGGCAAGTTTTTTACAAATTCTCGACATACTTCAGATTCTCCCCTGTGATTCAGGCTCTCGATAAACATCTGTATGCTGAAAAGCCCTGAAAGGGACACTTCTTCTTGACACTAGTGGCAGCGAGGTTACTGTCAACGTGTTTAGTGTGAAATACACGCCGGTTGATTTTAGTACCCATGATTAAATGCCAGTGGGAAAAGTAGAGGCCCACTGCGGAACACCATAGACTTGCTGAAAGAGTCATTTATGAGCATTTCAGTTCCAAAACGGCTGCGGTGGAGGCAAAGATCCTCTCATGTTCTCCTTTTAATCAAATTTCTCTTTGATCAGAACTTTGTCAGAGGATGTGCCATAAAAATTTTACCAAATATTGCATTAAATTGTTGGATTCTTTTTGTTGAGTTTGTGAAATGAATTACAGCCTGCATGTCTCTCTGTAATGTAAGTATTCAGTGCCCCCTGCAGGTTTGGATGGTTTATTAGACTACCCAATCATTGTAACATCTCAAAAGAATCATTTTACTCAAGATTACATATTCTCTTTTCCTGTAAGGACCAATTTTCCCTTGTTAACTTACTCATATTCCACGTCACTTAGTTTTTTACATCAAAATCCAGTTATTCATACAAATAAATAGTTTTCATATCTCAAAGTAGTGTGCAATTAATGTATAAAGTGAACCATTACAAACATTGGAACTCTGTAGACTATTGGAAATATCTTTGGCCTAATTGTCAACAGAAATGGCTATTTGTTTAATATATTTGGGGGATACATTGTGGATGGGGTCTTAACCTGGAATCCAGATTGATTTGGCTTTTTTGTCTTTAGCTTTGGTAACCAAGCAATTACAAGTGATATAATACAAATATGTATTTGTTTTGTCAATAATTACCTTTACTAGAAGCTGGGAAGACTATTGTACTGTTGCACAGGCTCATCCAAAAAACATGTAGCTGCATCTATTTCATAACAATCACATCCACTTCTCATTTTCATGTACCACTAGGGGGCGTGGTTTAGTGAAGAACGGAGAAGTTGAGGACACCCACCTCTCTCATTAAACCGTCTTACTTGCTTTTCTGTTTTGACTTGGAAAACT